TCATTTCACAGAAAAAAAACTGCAAAATACCTACAACAAAAAAAGATAGGAATTTTTGAAACCTCGCTGGCAGAAAACATTCAAAAACACAAAAAAAAAATTATAACTCGAAAACTACAAAAAATCGCGAAACATACATGGGGTATTTTCGTATGCCCCCAGGTGTGAGGAATCTAAAAAAAAAATATTGACGTCACTAGTTGGAACAACCTGTAGGTATGTACACAATATTATGTGTGAAGTTTTTCAAGTGTACAATAAAGAATAAATATTTTTAATTGCAATACTTACGTACATTAATAAAATACCTACTTTTTACTTGTATCTATTGTTATCAAAATGAAATCATAAGTTCTTGACTTGACCACGACTATGTGACCCCCTCCTGGCGCCAAAGCTGGATCCGCCCTTGTTTACATGTCTGTAAACAATGTGTATATCTAATCCTATGTTAGTAAATATCTTTTTTCAGTTAGTATGTATCAGGAACCCTCACCGGTGAAGGGGGGCCTTGCCATCTTTCTCTATCCCAACCTATTTGGATCCATTGGGGACCCGCGATTTTTTTGATGTCATCGTCCGATCAAGCGTTGGGTCCGCCTGTGTAGCGTTTGCCTGGTAGGCCTCTTCATGTAGTTACTGTATCCTCCACCTGTGATCTGTGAATAGCCTGGTAGCCTTACTCTTCGATATATTTCAGTACAGCACAATGCCAATAATCTTAGACTAAGATTTCGAAATGCGACGTAGCGCGAACTATAATTCCTGTATGGTAGGTACTCGTAAAATCCAAACTAGCTCCATACAATCTGTCTCGTTACTGCTATAAGATACAATAATATATGTATGATAATTAATACATAACGCTTTATAATATATTTAATTTGAGCTTCCAGATCCGATATTGAAAACTTGCAAGGCAACAGTGACTATGTTGAAGCGTGTAACCGCTGAAATTTTACTTAATTATTCGACAAAGACTTGGTAACAAAGCGATACCGTCCAATTAAGAGAGGCCTCTTGAGGGGTAACTTTTGATACGACCTCAAAGATCTTTCCTTAATGGACTTTCCCCAACATAAAACTCTTTTTAGATTAATTTGACTTTGTACCTTTACGGTGCGTCATAAAGTTTTATCTAGTGAAAGACTTTTATTTACGCCGCTATTAATTTTATAAGTTTCATCTTTTGTTGTTATTTCGGTCAATTTGGTGATATTACCTCATTTCTATAATATGTATATATGCAAATGTTTTTTTATATTCTACGTGGGAGCTTCATTAATAAGTGTTTCAAAATTAACAAGAATATGTTTATCCGACAGGCACAATCAAGCCGATCGGAAAGAGCAAGGTCGTTGACGATTTGAGCCGCCCTGCGTTGGATGTCATCAAATGGAAGGAGTTGGTACCGGGGAGCCAGAGATGTGAACAGAACTCCATGCGGTGAAGTGAAGTTCCGTTTCGCTTTCCTTGTTCGATATGTCAACGCCGAGAATTCAGATACTGGCTGAGGCTTAAAGGGGAGTGTCTTCAAATAATGGTGATACGACGAAGCGGTTATTTTAAGCGGTAATCTCGCAAACTTGTGTCTTCATTGGGTTAATTTCAAGTACAGACACAAATTTCGAGATAGTAATTAACAGCTTTGAGTGTTAAACTCTTGTTGTACTGCTCTTATGTTGCAGTCCAGAGAAAGCTAGAATGGTGGTACAATGCCCCGATGTCCATGAGATGATATAACTAGTACTAGCCGCATTGAGCGCAAATTTGCCCCAGAATCATAAGGCACACTGAGAATCCACCAATATGTAAATGTTAAGGTGGACGCGCAGGAAAGAATTTACCAGTTGCCATGGAGACCCCCCGGGGGTAGTTTCTTCTTGTTATGCACCTTAATAATTTTTCAAAATGTGGGGGGGGAAGTGGGAAGGGGTATGTAAAGGAGCCCAAAGATAGTAAGGGAACGATACGAGAAAGGATGGGGACCGGGATTTCACTTATCGCAGGAGTACACACGGTTTTCTGTGAGACAGTGGTAATTTCCCGGTAGTGCCTATTCATTCGGCTGATGCCCGAACGCAAAAGCATGGCACACCCACCGAAAAAATATGTCATTAGCATAATATGTCGTCTGGATGGCTATTTTGCGATCAATTGATAATTCTAGTTTAAATTATATTGTGGTTTAATATAGTGTACACACACATATATGTACACACATACATAGTAATAATAAATTACATTCATAAATAATTAATAAATTAAACGTGTATCTCGAGGTCAGTACACAACCTGTGGTCATTCAATCACCTGATTACTCCCCTGCGATCGGATAACATCAGCTGATAAACTGAAATTTGAAAGCCCGTTGCGGCGTTGGCACTTTACTCCTGTTATAAATTTATATAATTACATCAGTGTTCTACCTTTTTTATTCAACATACATTTTAAACAAATATTTCGCCTTTATTCGCCTTTTTCGAATGTATTGTTATAATTATTGAATCCGTAGAATATTTATAAGCATGTGCTTTTTAACATATTTATTTAAAATCACTAATTAATAATATCGTAATTCAAGTCACTAAACAGACATTTCGTATTAGACATTAACAAAGACAAAGGTTTTATTTTTTGGTACCTTGTGTTAAAATACGATCACCCCTATATGAGATCTAAGGCGAATAAATGATCAACTTGTTCTAAACATGGTTTATTTTGTTTTTATAAACTCGATAGTTAGTTAGTCTGTTTTGGGAAGGTTGCGGCAAAAGTCACCTCATTGAAGTAGAAAGAGCACAACATGCTATGTCCAAGTAGGCTCCAGTCTCCTCTATCGCTAAAAATGTGGGATGTCCTCACAATAAGGCAAGCGTTTATCTTAAACATTATCGTAAATGCACCATTCCCAACTAACGTTTGACCACATCACGCTTATTAACAAACTGAGTAAGGACACAATTTGCGAAGCAAACCTATTTCACTGCCAAAAATCGCATCTCATTATTTTATCATTTAAAACTTTCCTGGTAACACTAAACGCTATATATTTTTCTACAGCAAATTGGCTAAATATTTTAACTGTTGTTCAAGCTTCAAATATTGAATTATTTTTATTAAAGATTAACAAAAACTTAAAATCGGCCATTATTTGAATGTTAAACTGTACGATAAATTATTAATAAACTTACTTTGCGTATGTCCTAAAACCAATGTTGGAATTGAACAAAAAAAATCGAAAATTTGTTTAAAATAAACGAGAGATCATAAAAGTAAAGTAAAAATGTTGCTTTGACCGGCTTGTCATGAGCATTGCCGAACCCGGTCAACTTTGGAGCGCGTTTCCAATTGCAAAAAAAAATATAGAGGAACATCTTCAAAAATAGATCCTCTATAAAATTGTTCTGACATAATTTTTTTGATAAAATCAAAAGAAAAAAAGTTACTTATAACTTTTTGAATTTTGGATTTATGATAAAAAGTCAAACAAACATAATTGTAGGCAAAGTGATTTGCCGATTTGATTGCTACAAAATATGTCACAACAAATTTTTTGTACGATGGATAGTTTTTTTTTTAATGGCTCTGGCACGATTTGTGCATTAGGCTATGTTCAGATGGCAAAAACTTGACGCGCGTTTTCAAATCGCGCGACTAGACATTGTGGTATTTTCATACAACTGTTCACATGAGCGCGGCGCTCAGAGAAAAAGTCTCTAGACGCAGGTGATCGCGCGTTGATATTAATGTAATGTCCGTATGCTGTTCAGTTGAGCGCGCGCTTTCATCACGATCGCATGCAATTTTCGTAATTATATTTATTACAAACTGGGTCTATTTTTCAAAATTGGATGAACCCAATGTGTACGTTTTCTTTTTCTATATTTTTCTTTATAATATAACCACAAAATAATAGCCTCTTCCACGTCCATTTTCTACGTTCTACCGAACTAGACTGACGAGTACTCTCGGCTCTCGCAACGCGCAATAGCGCTCATCATCTGAACTCTCTTCAAATTTGATCGCGCGTTACATGTGAACATAGCCTTAGCCAGCGTCAAGTATAGGATTTTTTTTATAATTCGTGCTTGTCTTTAGAAATTCGACCGTGTCCTCCATGTACGCTTTAAGCACTCGCCTGGTACCGCACAACCCTCCCAAAGGCCGAGAACAAATTTAGATAAATTTAAACTTGCCCTCGAACCGGGAATCGAACCCGGTTCCCCTCACCTAGCTGCCACTTAATAAGACCTAGGCTATGAGGCCCCCCAAGGATGGATAGTTTAGGAGATATAGCCAAAAACGTGTTTTCACCCCTTTTTCCAAGATGGCGGCCGGGGGACAAGAGCGCCAACCCCACAAACTTGGGTTTAAGTTTGTATTGACCCCCCCTACATTTCCCATAAATAAAATTGCGTCCTCTATCAAAATATGTTCAGCCCATGTCAATGTCATGTCAATGAACCAATAGCAATGATTAACGAAATTCTTCTTAGAATTGGAATTAGCTTTTTTGTCTGTATCTATCAATTTTACAATATATTTATCTGTGGTACAATCAGTGTCAATTGTCAAAAATTTTTTAGCTTATCATTTCAAAAAATTATAAACAAAGCTGTTATTGTTGGGCGTTGGCAATTGGTTTGATTCAGCTGATAATTTCATTGATTAAAGAACTGATAAGCACTCTGTTTGTCTAGCGGCGTTGTACTAAATTAAATTGGGCTACGCTGATAAAAAATCGAATGAAGTTATTCTCTATGACAAGTGGAAACAGTAGTGTGATTGTGACTTAAAAGTTTTTTTTTTAGTTTGTTTCTGTTGTGTTTTACCATGTTTTTATTAAATAAGTGATGTATTACAATGTTTATACGATTCTGATATCCATATTTAATGTTTTTAGTACTACTTTAATTCAAAAAAATGCGTTAATTGAAACACTTGCGGTGTAAGTAATATGAATCATCGTTGTTCTTGATCGGGCTGAACGTGCGAAAATGGATCGAAAAGCGGTTTTTATTTTGTTTCTTAGCGTGTCTGTAAAGTGTCAATCTAATAAGGATTTATACAATGGTCAGTTTAATAAGGATTATTATAATACACGGACCCAAGATTCTATGAGAGATCATAGAATCCCTAATCCAGGCGACAGTGATTATAGAACGTATGTGTACAATAATCGAAGATATGGGGCAGATCCGTCAAGATACAATCCATATAATCCAAATATTAATCAGCCTGGTGGATTTCCATACAATCCAATTGTAACCAACCCTTTAGATGAGCAGTTTAAGTTCAATGCAGTAAGTGTTACTTTTTAAATCTAGAATGGTTTATTTTATAATAATACACACAACAACAAAAGATTTATTACAATTTAAAAAAATATCATCATACAAAGGCTTATGATGCGGCAACAGTTTCAAAATGCATAAATTATTACTTTAAAATAAACATTTTTCAGAACCGTGACCCCAACAATCCAGATGCATTGTTTCCTGGTGTTCTTGGTGGATGGAGAGAAGACCTACAAGGCAAAGAGAGAAGGGATTCAAGACAATTGAAAAGAGACATCTTTGTCAATACTAACTATGGACAAGTACAAGGGTTTAAAGTAAGTTTTAAAATTGCCTGCACACGTGTCATGTAAATTTGACAAAAGACAATAGTGTTGTTGTAAAGACTGATTAGTTTTTAAATTCAGCTTTTTATATTACTTTAAAAGCATTTTTAGTGGTCAGAAGAGGTTAAGTTTTTCAGACTTCGGCAAAGGAATATACTTTCTATATGAATAGTATATGTTGTTTAAAACATTTCTTTTAATATATTTCAGGTTTATTTGTATGATAATCCAGATCCAGATTCTGGATACAGACCATGGCTTACTCCAGTAGAGAGAATACAGGGTGAGGCATCAGTGTTTTTAGGAATACCATATGCAAGACCGCCTGTACTTGAAGGCAGGTTCAAGGTAACAATATAATTTAGTACAAACTTTAAGATGTTTTTTAAATAATCACATGTATATATAATTTTACTTAAAAAAAGATACAATAAGTCACATATATGTGATTATACTAAAACTTAAAATCTAAAATATTTTTTTGCACAGGCTGTGTGCATATGTTTGTGGCATGCAATTTATCAAAATGAACAACTTGTTAGCAACTATGTTTTATCCAAAAGTCTGCCGGGACAATCCTTAATTTCTAGAGAATGTTGATGATTCTAGATGTATTTTAATGTTTTAGCCCCCACGTCAGCACCCAGGGTGGCAGCTTATTCAAGCAGTAGACTGGGGTCCAGCTTGTCCACAGCCAGTTAGATTTACTGGTGCTACAAAAGGTGTACGAGATATGGATGAAGACTGTCTCTATTTGAATATTTTCTCGCCAAATGTAAGTGAATATTTTTTTTTATCCCATTATTTTAATATATCTAATTATTATTCAGAATATAAGTATTGATTCTATTGCTATTTGAGGTATGCTCATCTTTCTAATTGAAGATTACATGGTGATCTTTCATAGAAAGAAAAAGTTGTTTGTTCATTTGAAGATGGCTATTAGAAGCATAGCAATTGCAATTACTCCTTGTTTGTCAATTATTGCCACTTAAGATGAATAAATCTTAATTAATCCATGTCACTTATGGTATGACTAATTTACTCATTGTTTGATATTTAATGGAACATCTGTTAGATTGAAACTGCCTTTGTGATTTTATAATGCATTATGCAAAAGCAAATAATTTTTGATTATTTTTACCTTTTTCCAAATAAGTCCAAAAGGCAACATCAAAAATTTATTAAAATGAATCTCATTTTTTCTTCTGATTTATAAAATCCATTAAACACTGGTTATTTATCAATATTAAAACAACAATTATCAGTCCAAGTTTAGGAATAGGCAACAAAACTACAGATTTTTAACATTTGTGACATGCATTTGTCAATATATATTATAGTAGTGTGATTTTTTCCGACCCCTTCCCATCCTAGTTAAATATTGATTTAAAAGTGCTTTGTGAAAACATAAATATCTTTGACATTATATGCAGGACATTTGACAACCACTATTCTTATTTATATCTCATTTCAGACCGAAGCTGGTTCAACAGCTCAAAAGTACCCAGTGATGGTATACATTCACGGAGGTCAATTCACTTCTGGTGCATCCAATCTGTTTCCAGGACATATGTTGGCGGCATTCTATAATGTTGTTGTTGTATCTTTTAACTATAGGCTTGGCGCTTTGGGTAAGTTATTATTATTTGTTGTACCAACATTATTCATCAATGTCTGAATTATTGACTCGGCATTTGGCTGAAATAGGCACTTTAAGCTTCAGTGCCAATTCCAATAATTATATTTTCTAATAATGGAACATTTATGTAGTTCCTTTAATATTTGTAGCTATTGTCTCTGGTATTGAAGTTACACGGTAAGCCAGTTCAAGCCGGTCTGGTCACAGCAATTATTATTTGGTAAACTAATAATTTTAGTTAACGTAAAATACTTGCTACTTTCTTGCCAAAAATAAAGAGACAAAAATGTTTCGCCATTTGTTGATTAGGGAGCGTTCAAGTATTACGTTTTTGGAGATTATTGACAGCCCCCCATGTTACGCGCCGTAACGTTTTTCTGTACCCAATAGTAAAACGTTTCGTGACCAGTGACTCTTTATATACATAAGTTACCATTATGTGGTGTCAAGTACTGGAAAGTCGAAAATAATATTAACAATAACGCGTAATTCAATCCCCGCCCCGCATCGTAACGTTTTACAAAAGGACCCCCCTTGCCAAAATTCGTGACGTAATACTTGAACGCTCCCTTATGGGACCAAGAGTTTTGCCAATGTATGACCTATAAGTTGACATTTTATAGGATGAAAAAATAAACAATTCTTTATTCATTAATTTTGTAAATATTTTCAGGATTTTTATCAACTGCAGATGAGAATTCTCCCGGTAACTATGGTATCTTGGACCAAGCGGTAGCTTTGCGTTGGGTTCGGGATAATATTGAGCCATTCAATGGTGACAGTGGATCTATAACTCTCTTCGGGGAAGGTGCTGGTGCAGCTTCAGCTGGGTTGTTGGCTGTGGCGCCTCAGACTAGGGATATTGTTACACGGATAATTGCACAGGTATATGTCATATAGAGTATAATAACATTCTTAGAAATTTAATTTTAATTTAATCATTTCCAATTAAAAAAAAATATTAAGAGTTAAATTTTATAAACAAACTAAATGAACTTCGTATGACGTAATTTTTTTTTAAAACAGACCCAGGATCGGCAACATATAACAGCTATGACACACAAATATATGACAACCAAGTGACAATGTTTTATTCTAAAAATATTACGTTTTTTTTTTTAAATTAAATTGTCGGTTTTAGTATCGTTCATACGTTTAAACCTGTCCTGAATTTCTAAAAAATATTTCAAGAATATAGGTAGCCAAATCGGTCCAGCCATTCTCGAGTTTTAGCAAGACAAACTAACAGCAATTTATTTATGTATAGATTAGAAATTCAAGGCAAAGTGGCAGCTAGAAGACCTGGTCGCAGACGCACGTCTTGTTTGTAAATCCTTGGCAATGTTTTGGTCAAAGCACCAAGTCATTCTTAAACTCAGCATCCCAAATTAGAGTAGCCTTGATCACCAACCTTCGAATAAGATGTGATGATGTCCTAAAGTATTAAATTCCTTAAGAGAATAAAATAGTGCCACCTATGATTAGCTTTAGGTAACTATCGGTGTCATCTGTTTTTAAGTATTGGAAAAGTCCTAGGTTGACATTGAATTCTGCCAATTATTAAGTTCTTTGCATCCCCTGATCACTAATGGTCAATATTAAGATCGACCATATGAAATGATCGCCCTTTATGGGTAATTTGGAAGAAAGAAGTAATATCTCTTACACAGAATTTTCCAGATGAAATCTTACGTAAGAAGAGTATTAAGCCGGAAGTATCCTATTCTTCTGTTAACTGGCGTAAAATTAACACATTCCTTTCAGAGTGGTTCGGCACTTGCTGACTGGGCGTTGATCGAAGATAAATTCAGAGTTCAGAACACATCACTTGTGTTTGGTAGACTTTTGGGATGTCCCATAGACTCTTCGTGGAAACTTGTCAACTGCCTTCGTCAGGGAAGGAGTTTTCACGAGCTGGGCAATGCAGAATTTCAGGTAATATAGTTTTGAAGTGAAAACTTCTTTAGCGGCGTTGTACACTTTTTTTGGAATGGGTAAAAAATGTTAAACTCGCGTCAGGACACGTGACCTGATCGAAAGTTCGTAAGAAGGATGGAGTGTAGACAGCTGAGTATTAGTATATAGAGAGTATTTAATGTAATATAAACTTTCATGTTTGTGAACGATAGCGCAATAAATAAATAAATTGTATTCTACCACATAAATGATAGTATTTTTATACTGATAATTAACGCAATTCGTGCAAAATTATTCCCTAACCATTCCAAAATATCAAAAATGCACAAAATTCACAATATTCAAGTTTTCACTTCTGCCAACAAATTTACATCAAACATATGGACTTACAAATTCAAAATATTTTCAGCCCCAAGTCGGATTCATCCCCTGGGGTCCAGTACTCGAAAATAACTTCACGTTCCCTGGAGACGGCTGGTATGAAGGCTGGCGGGAGAGGGACTGGCATTTCTTGGACACTACTCCAGATCAGCTCATCGCCAGACGCCAGTTTAACCCCGCCTTGATGTATATGACTGGAGTTACTACACAGGAAGCGGCTTATTATTTGTGTAAGTATTATAAGATTATTAACAAAATTTAAAATAAAACAGAGAAAAAAAAGAAAGAATTTGAAAAATATATAAAAAAAATAATATTAAATGACCCGGGCACTGTTCACATTTCTGTCTTTAAGTCTTTTGTTGGTATCATTATTAACATTATTGTGCATGATTCAAGTATTGGTTTAAAAGCGTTTTATTTAAACAAAATATTAGGTACTAGGTAGGTATTCCCATTATTTTGTGTCCTCTTCAATAAGTGTGTCACTTTGACATTTGTATATTTTATTTATTAATAAAATATTGTTGACCTCAAATTCGATTAAATACTCACGTATATAAAATACAGCCTAGGCCCTAGACTCTGTATTTGTATGACTCTGGTCTGTATTTAAAAAAAAAAAACGTTTTTCTTCTAATATTTTCTTTGTTTTACTACACATATAAATAACTTGAACGATAACCTAATAAGAAGAGACACAATGTGTCATTTTTGTAAAAATTCAGCGGAATATTTCAAACTTCACGGCATTAGACGGCGTTAATATGGCAACCTTTCCATACACTATCCAAACCTTTCTATTAATAATTGTTTGTTATTTTCTTTAGAATATTTTCCTCATACCTGTTTGGACCAAATTAAAAAAAAACAAACTTATCAGTTTAACTTCTACATGGTGTTGGAAAATATTTGACTTTGATAATCTATTTAGGCTTTGCACGATTGCTAAATTTTTTAATTTTTTTTAAGGAAAATCAGGATTATTCTTTGAATTCGATTTATTCATTAAAATAGTTCTAGTTTTATCAAAATAGGTTCAGTAGTTTTTGAGATATGGGTTGGAGGGGGCATGTATGATAAAGCAAAGTAAATAACATCTGAAGTTTTTTTTCAGACAATAACAATTCCCTAGCGCCTACATACGAAATATCAGAACAGTGGTTCAATAATAAAGTCCAAGAGCTGGTCCTTCGGTACAACTACACACTAAACCCTCGCGGTGTCTACGAAGCCATTCGGTATATGTACACATATCATCCGGAACCGCATAATGTTAGCGCTATACGTGACCAGTATGTGCATGTGAGTATTACTACTTAAAATAAAAAACTTGTGTGTATGTACACACGTTAGAAGTTATACTTCTTTGGCGTAACAAGATAAAAATCTTTTTAAAAATTTTATTCAACTAGAAAAATGACACTAACAATAGAAAAAACTAAAATGTTGACTATAGCTAACTTCAGGGTTTTTTGTGACGCGCATCGATAAAATTTACTCTCATCATTTTTAACGTGCCCTAACGCGCCAAAAGAAGTATAACTTCAAAACTGCATAACATATAATGCAGACAAGTTGATGCTTCTGTCTGGAACAAAACCTACCAAAAGGAACCACTACTACTAACGGTCTTATTTCTTTACGCTTAAGTCTGAAATCAGAACTATTAATATCTCTATAAAACTTGTAATTTGTTTAATTGAAGTGAAACTTCTTTATCGAGGTTGGAAAAAAATTTAGTGTAACATTTTTTCGTTACGCGTCACATTTTTCGGTTACGCGCCATGTTGCTTTTTGAAGTCAAACTTCTTTATCGGCGTTGGAATGAAACTTCTTTATTGACGTATGGGAGAAATTTTGTAGCAAATCGTCACGTTTTTCAATGATAGTAATAATTCTATTACAATTAATGAAATTCTATAATAATCTTCGTAATAATAAGGTAAAATGAAATATTTGTATTCATGTCTATGATAATAAAAGCCTTTTGTTAAACTTTATCTAATTTAACGAATTTCTGTAAAGTTGCATATAGTAGATAATTTTTCGAAAAATAAGATCATAAAGAAGTTTCACTTCTTACGTGTGTACACCTAGTACACGCACAATTTATTTAATTTATCTCTGATTTTTTTGCAAAAACTTTTGCTAAAGTAATTTTTGATAGCGTCTATCCTACCATGATTACCGGGCCCAACTCTATAATGTCAATTCCACTAGCTACAAATCATTAATTTTCGAAACAAATGATTATCACATTCACTCTTTGAGCACAATTTTAATTTAAGAAAAATCAGGTATAAAGAGTCACTACTGGTGGTCATGAAACGTTTTACTATACCTGGGTACAGTATTGTATTGGGTACCTACAGAAAAACGTTCCGGCGCGTTACATATGGGTCAATAATTTCCAAAAATTGCGTTACGTACTTGAACGCTCCCTTAAAGCGAAAAAGTGACGCGAGTTTATGGAGTTTATGAGCTGGGCAATTTAGAGTATCAGGTATTTAGTAGATGTTCTGAATTAAGCTAAGCCAAAATAATAACTTTAAAAGAAAAAATCTTAAAGAATTTTATATAAAGTGTTGCTACCACCTTTGGTCTACGATTTCTGTATCTCTTGTCTTGATACTTAATAGGTGTGATTATAGAGTATCGGCGATGTTTACCTTCCTACTAATAAATGTTTTGGCGCAAAGCTGATTCATACGCTGATGCTTTCCCCACAAAGCAATAAATCCAAGCGGTGTGGCCTTAGTGCGACTCTAGCTTATGGTCGTGTTAAGCTACCTATGGATTTTTATTACATGTAGTCATTAACCGTAAATAATATAAATCTTAGACCCAAAAATTTACGGCGTGTACAAAAGGCTATTCGCTAATCTGACAAAACAGAAATCAGAGGCCATGACAATAGGTGCTGGGTTTTTTGTTGGGACAATAGTACTGGTTTTTTCCAAGATATTTGAGTTTTTGATATACAGAACAGACCAAAAATTGGTGGTGCTTCTGGTGGTACTGCCACTGGTTTTTTCAAAGATCATACGAAATACTCATATTTCCAGCTCCTCTCGGACTTCCTTTACCGCGCTCCGACTGACAAAATAGTTAAGCTATTCTTAGAACAAAAGGTTCCCGTATATATGTACGTGCTCAATACTACAGTAGAGGCCTTCAAATTACCCGAGTGGAGGCAGTATAGCCATAATCTAGAACGGGTTTTCCTCACGGGTGCCCCTTTTATGGACCAAGAGTTCTTTCCGATGAGGCAAAGGATCGAGAGACAAGCCTGGACACCAAATGACAGAAATATGAGCCATTTCTTCATGAAAGCTTATTCTGATTTCGCGAGATTCGGGTAAGTTTATTTGGAGAAGTCAAACAAACTTAAAACTAGGTTCAAGAGTTGTCAAACCCTATTTTCTGTAAGTGACATATCACTGTAGAATGATAACCTCGTATGTCAAAAAATAATAATTTATTTTTTATTCTTAGACTCATATGTCATCTGTTAGGGATTGGTTAATAACAAAAATAAGTCCTTTTTAGCATCCAAAACTATGGACAAAAGCACATAATAATATTTTAACAAACACACGAATTGAAACATTTTCGTTTCCTGTGAAGTTTGGTTCTCTGGACATATGAGGATATCATTCTACAGCGACGATATTTGACAGTACTCATGACGAGATTGATTTAAGAATATGTACTTTATTGTTTATTGTAAATTTGTCTATTTTGTGAGTTTAAAAGGACATGTTCGCCGAGAGTTATTTGTATTCTAAATAAAATCATGTATTCTAAACTTAGTAGGATATTTGACGATTTGAAATATTATAAATATATATAAGTACGGCAACATCGCACATTTAATATAGAGCGTGTAACGTTGTACCTTTGTGTATTTATTTTAACAAGAGACGTGATTTAGTTTAAACGTTTTATTTAGTAGACGAATTACTGAAATAAAAATAAATTACGGAATGTAATGTGTTACTTACTAAAAGGCCGGCAACTCACTCTCAAGCCCTCTGGCATTGAGAGTGTCCATGGGCGGCGGTATCTCTTACCATCAATCAGGTGAGCCTCCTGCCCTTTTGTCCCCTGTTCTATAAAAATCAATGTTTTCTAAAAACTTAGGAATTTCTACGAAAAATTCACCAACTTTATTTGTCTTTCAAAGGCTACAGACTATTTTTGTGATTATATTCAATTATATGTACGCCCACATAGTTATAAGTTTTGGAAACGTTTTAAAAACCCATGGGTTAAAACTAAACTTTTCCAATCTTTCCCAGGAATCCGACCCGTAGCCGAATTCTGGGCGTACATTTCGAAAAGGCTGAAGCGGGACAACTCCGTTATTTAAACTTAAATACAACCTATAACTCCACTATTCAGCTCAACTATAGACAGACGGAACTGGCTTTTTGGACTGTGTATTTGCCCACTGTCGTTGGGAGATTTGTGCCAACATATCCCCCTATAACTGAGGTAAGTCGTTATAAATCAATGTCGCAACGCATGGCAAATAAATTCTCAGTACATACTACAACTATAACTTCTTAGTACTTATTTTCTAAGATTCAGAGATTGCCGTTCGTTTTTGTAGTTAGCTCTAGATCAAGTCTGGACTTGCAGGGATGTATCAGCAACCCTTCTTAGTTCTTAGTACTTATTTAGTGATTACTTCTACTTATACTCTGATTTTTCATTCCGTAGAATTCTGACATTTTCTAAAAAAGTTCTCCACCGAGAAAGGGACAAATATTCATTTGAGGGCAATAAAATAAAATGCTACGTACGTTACAGGTTTAGTAAGTAGTTTAAGGTTAAGTACCTTTTTAAAAAAATAAAATGTTATCTTCACTTGTGCGATTTCTACGGTTTGTGATGTTCCGCACTCTCTTTCGCTCACTAACAAATAAAATGTTTGTATAGATTCTGATGTTGACTCGTATTGAAATTGAAAAATGTCCCCGGCCAAAAAGGTTTGCCATCTCTGACATGTCAAAAAATTATAGCTGTCAGAATTCTACGGAATTAAAAATCAGAGTATAGTACTTATTTAGTAGAGTTCGAGTGACTCTGAATCATAGTTTAGACTCGTTTCTGAATCCTTACCCTAAGAAATAGTATTATGACAAGTGATGAAAATTGGCAATGATGTATTTAGAAATAAAGGTAATAATGAATGCCGTAATGATTAACATTATACCAAAAACTTTGAATCTTCACTACACTAAATAAATTTGTTTAATTTTTTTTTAAACTTCTTTTACATTATTTGTATAGAAACCAAGTACACAAAATAGAAAATATTTACGAGCTGTCAAAAGCGTACCGCAAAACGTATACAATTTACAAGAATTAAAATAAAAAAAATTAATATAGACAAAACACTTTTACTAATAAAAACACGTAAAAACAGTATTTAAATCAAAAGTGAGAAACTATTAGAGACTGATTTACTTTTAAAGAATAAGGGGAGAAATAGTTAATACACAATTAGTTGACAAAATAATACATATTCAACAGTGATTGTCATTACGAAAGAATATTAAACTGTACTGTAAGGATAATGTACATATTATTGTGGATAAATAAATAAAATACTAAAAAAGGACATATTACATTATTGATGTTATAATTATAAGAAAATAAAACACCTGAAAAATCAGTTACAAGAAATGAATGAGAAAGTATTGACTTACATGGATTCTTTTTCAGTACTGGTGGGAGCCAAAACAACCCCTTCAGATCGCATTCTGGTCCGTCTCTAGTGCTTGTCTTCTCTTAATAGTGCTTTTGGTCGTCTGCTGTATGTTATGGAGGAATGCTAAAAGGTAATTTTTTAATGATTAAATTAATTATTACCTTATTAATTTATTTATTATATTATTAATAGTATAAATTTTATGTAATACATATTTAATATATGGCTTCCCTAACAGGTCTATTCCGCCAAAATGGAAGCTTATACCAGCAATGTAGGTAAACTAACAAATTACTAACTTTAGGTAAACAAATAACAATATTCAAAACTAACCTTTTATTCACTTATATAACCCTGAGCATGTTAATTGTATATAATAACATAATTCTTTGTGCGTGTGTGTGTGACTGAACTCCTCCCAAACCCCCGCCCCGCTTTTGATGATATTTTTTTGTGTTTGTTCGGGGGGGGGTTTGGGTATTCAAAACTCCAGATGGCACTGCTTCTTTTTTACTTTGCTTAATACCTTCCTAATATCATGCAGGACAACGTCTGCACTGTTTATATATATAAATATGTCTATTTTGTATATATACTATGTATATTTCCCGTAAAATCCTTTCAAATTGCGACATTTTAAAAATTAAATGTTAAAATCATTAAACCACCATACTATTATAAATACCTATGTTACCAGGGAAAGATCGTCACATTGATATCCAAAGCCCTAGTTATTTAAAATACCATTATTTTTTACTGACGAAGGGTTGGGAACGAAAAATATAAAAAATCTACACAACTAAAAAATGTTAATAAGGTATAACAGTTGGCGCTATTGCGCCGCGCACCAGAGATCTCGCTACACTAAAGCTAGCTTACTACAGTGCGTGTCATCTTACTAATAATGGGAAAATTCATTAAGCGGACTTTGTAACGCACATAGCGTCTCATGTAATAATATATGTAAAATCCACAATTTCTGTTGAATTTTGCATACTATATTATATGTATAATTAGTATTTTAATTATTCTTCACCTATCTTTAATATATATGTAGTTTCATTTCAAAATATATCTATGAAATGTATATTTGTTCTAGCAGCCCCCGCAAACTTCGTTTCCCCTTATTATTTATTGGTCCAGCCGTCCAGCTGTAAGAAGTTGTAGGTGACTTTTTGATAATAAACATTGTTATTTGTTCAGAGAAACCGACCGCTTCTACAACGGTGATATATTTATGGTGCCCGAGATAGAGGAAAGTGGCATAGATAACACAAATCGATCCAGAGATAATATCTATGAGTATAGAGATGTGCCGATTAAACGATCTCAAACACCACAAACCACTATTACCAGAACAGTATGTTTTTTTATTTATAAAATTATATTTAAGTTATATCAATAAAATCAAATAATTTATAAAGAGATTAATGTATTTTCTACACTTTTGATGGATTTTATAATATTAATTTCTGGGAATTGATACATTCTTGACTTAATAATATTATTATCATATTTACAGTTAAGCCAACCAGCAACCATACAATCGTCTCGTCCGCCATCCGAAGCTTCAACAGAATCGGCCATATCCCTGAAAGAAAGCATGGTCTCTCGAACTCCGGACCCTCGTATAACGCCCGTGCCTAGAGCCAGGTCTAGGACTAAACTTGTCGATGGGGTACCACAGACTACGGTGTAAGAATCTATGGTAAAATTGTATAGAATGAACAATAAACGCCTGAGCTAGGAGTAAACCTGTCGATGGTGTACCACAGATCTCGTATCTCTGGTTACCATAGAGAATAACATACACGTATCTGGAGATTTTTAGTCTATTTGACTTTTTGTAGTTGTATAACTTTTTCTTAAGTAAATAGTAGTGCAAGAAGAGCAATCAAAAGAGTAAAAGCGTTATTAGAATATTGAACCTTTGACTTCAAGTAATAGGGTCTAATGATTTAGTAATTTAGAAACTTATATGGCATATGACATTTCGACGCTACGGGCCAGAGATTAAAATTACCACTAAATTTAATTTAAATTAAAACTGGAACCCAGTTACTAATAGAAATAATCGGCTCGTAGATTAATGACAATTTGATATATAATTTGAGGGTAGGTAGAAATCTTAGACTTATTGCAACCACCGCTAGTTTGTAATTTACCTAATAAGATCTCGTATAAGTGCACCTATTATATTTCTTTCTGTATTATTTTTTTTAATTAAAAATTGTCCAAGTTGACAATTTATTTTTGATTAATTTTGGTGCAAGATATCTTTTTCTATAATCTTGTATGAGTAAGACATCAGCTTTATACTATTTAAGACTTTAATTATTATCGTATTTTAACTATATTTCCGTGCCTTATATTCTGAATAGTAAAGGCTTTATTTTCTTTATTTACATTCCACATAGTTTTAAGTAATAATGTATGTTGTGATTGTTCTGTCCGTCCATCAAAAGTGCAATTATTTATTTCGACACTACCAGTGTATTTTGTAAATATGAAATAAATATTTTTTTCTTATTCATCGATTTTTCTTCGTAGTTTTAGCTTTTTAAACGCAAAAATGTAATTATAGAATACGCTTTTAATAATAAAGTTAAAAATATGAATGTTTTAAAGGAACAAGTTCAGTGAGTTTGCATACTTTTGACTTAATTATCAAAACCTCTATCATACTATCTTCATGATGTGTTAAAAACAAACTTAGTATTTCGTTCCAACAGATAAAACTACCTTAAACCCCATGTTCTAAATTAAATCAGTTTAATTATATTGTTTTAACCAAAATTCGCTTCTACATATATCGACCTAGCTATATATATACCTTTGTACGGATGGATATATTTTAATGCTCGTAGGTTCGATTTCCGGCCGTGCACCAATGGCCCTTTATTTCTATGTGCGCATTTAACATTAGCTCGAACGGTAAAGGAAAACGTGCGGAAACCGGCTTGCCTTAGACCCAAAACGATCAGCATCGACAGCGTGTGTCCGCACAGGAGGCTGATCACCTACTTGCCTATTAGACTAACAAATGATCATGATACAGAAAACTGAGGCCTAGACCTAAAAAGCTTGTAGCGGCACTGACTTTTTATTTTTTATTTATTTAATTTTCCTTCAGTATATCGTTTTAAGATAGTATTGTTTTTGTATTTGAAGCTGACGAATGCCATCTCTTGACTTCGTTGAGACGTTTAAACCAACTATGTGCTTGCTTCCTAGCTTTTAGTTAAATTGAACTGCTTTTTCACGCAGAAATCGATTTTTCGTGGTCTATTAGTTAACAATAAAAGGCGCAAACGAAATGTTAACAAATATTTTACACTTGTAGACGGTAAATTGTAAAACGTCAGTAAATGCACCCTTTAGTTGATCATACATTCAAAATTGGTAATATAACATTCTCGTTTCCAAGAATGTACAATAAAAAATAAAATATGTTTATTAAAGAACATAAGATACATGTATCACTAAATTAAATTTGAATTTGTAGGCATCCCTACTCATCGGCAAAGAAGACAGAGGGTGTAAGGCTGAGAGAAAAAGCCGGCGTAAAAAACTCTCGGTACTCTTTTAAAATATCAAATCATCAAAAAACACTTATTTTAAAACAAATACCGCAAATTAATTAGAAGTAGCCTGTCTAGCACTAGTCCCAGGCCCTTTTATCAACTAGATAATCGTTGACTTTATAGTAAGCCTTTTTACACAGCTTTTCTTTAATACATTTCTTAAATTTATTGAAAAGCAGAGATAAAAGAGCCTCTGGGATTTTATTAAAGAAGAGTATCCCTTTTCCCAAAAAAGAATTACTAACTTTAGATAGTATAGTACGGGGACATTGCAGCCTGCGTTTGTTCCGTGTATTAACATTGTGCGTATGTTATATTCTATACTAGTAAACTTATCACTATTTTTGTATACATACATAATATTTTCATAAATATATTGCGAGGGAAAGGTAAGTATATTAATTTCCTTAAATTTATCTCTAAGAGATTCCCTACATTTTAAATTATAGATTGCACGAATAGCCCTCTTCTGCAGGATGAAAATAGTTTCGACATCAGCAGCATGACCCCATAATAATAAGCCATAAGTCATTAAGCTATGAAAGTAACTAAAATAAACAAGTCTAGCTGTATCAACATCAGTTAGTGAGCGAATTTTTTTAACCGCGTAGGCTGCAGAACTAAGTCTCTTCGCCAATCCGTTAATATGAGGGGACCACTGAAGTTTTGAATCCAATTCCGAGAAATACAGTTGTATCACCCAGATTCAATTCCTCACCGTTTATAATTGGTCTAGTATCCATAACCCTTGCATTTTTTGCACAAAGTTTAATGCATTTTGTTTTTCTTGCATTAAGTAGAAGGTTATTTATGTTAACGTGAAATTGTAAAAACCGTTAGATTGTAATCTATCTCGCGAGATTATAAACTGTCGAAAGATTGTGAACCTCAGCGTACTGCTTATAATTTAACGTATTATTATTCGGTAGATTGTAATCTATCGAAGTGAAACCGTCAAATTGTGAAACGGCCATTTCCTACTTTTCTATTGGTTATAAGAGATGTGACATTCTCGTTTTCTATTGGTTATAAGTGATGTGAACATTCTCGGTAAATTAATCGAATCGATTATTTTCCTCATTTGTTATATTTTAAATTTAAACTTAATTTAACCATTACTTGTCAAATGTACATACATTACATTAACTTCATTTTTCTATTTGTGTTGGGTAAATTTACTTCTTTTTTCTTTTTTTTTTTTTTTTCCGAAAATTTTGAAATTATTTAAAAATAATCTATTTTTTAAAAGTGAAAATCGATTTTTGTATTCGATTTCGAGTTTCAGTTGAACAGTTATTTAAAAAAAAAAATTAATATACTAACCTAACCTAACCGAATAATAATACATTTTTTGGACAGCACCGATTTTTTTATATACACTCTAGGGGTAGGGCAGACAAGACCACGTGGATAGTGGGGTGCTCTGATTCGGTTTTGGGTACTTTTGAAAAATTTAAAAATTTCCGAACCATACACCAAATTAAAAATCCCCCCCCTTAAAAATTTTAAAAATTTTCCAAAAAAAAAAAAATTTAAAAATTTAAGTTAATGTATTGTTAAATGTATGTACATTTAACAAGTAATGGTTAAATTAGGTTTAAATTTAAAATTAACAAATGAGGAAATAATCGATTCGATTATGTTCAACTTTAAAAATAACAAATGAGGAAATATCGATCCATTAATTTACCGAGAATGTCACATCACTTATAACCAATAGAAAAGTAGAAAATGGCCGTTTCAATTTGGGTTCACTTCCGGCGGGGGGGTTTTTTTGATTTATACTAAACCAATGGACAATCGAAGATAGAGCATTGTTCACATCGTCAAAATTTGTTATTTGTCGTTTGATTTTTAAAATCAAGGACGTGTCATCAGCAAACAAAACTATCTGATGTTTTCTCTCTACCATGAAAGGTAGATCATTTATATAAACAAGACAGAGGAAAGGGCCAAGAATTGAGCCCTGTGGTACCCCCATATCTACTGCCGACCTAGAGGACCTCTTACCATTCACTTCAACCTTCTGAGTTCTTCCGTGTAAATAGGAAGTCAGAAGATTCAGTGCAGTATTCTTGATGCCATAGTGGCGGAGTTTCCCGATTAAGGTCTCGTGTTGGACACAATCAAATGCTTTGGATAAGTCGCAGAAAACACCTAAAGCGTCATGCGACTCCTCCCAAGCCTTAACTATATATCTATATAACTCAACACCGGCATCGGCTGTCGAGCGTCCCTTGGTAAAACCGAATTGATTATTATGTACTTACCTAATAATTTGTTTACGTTAAAATGACTTGCCAGTTGATTTAATATAATTTTTTCAAATATTTTACTACAAGTAGTACGGAAATTGGTTTAAAGTTACTGGGGTCGGCATACTACCTGCTTTAAATAATGGCATAACTTTACTATGTTTCATTAGATCGGGAAACTCGCCACTTTTAATACAATTGTTGAAAATTATAGCTAGATGGGGAGCAATTACATCAATTATGCTACTAATTCTTTTTACAGAAATACCCCAAAGATCGGTAGTGTTCTTAATATCTATGGTTCTAAATATCCTAACTATATCGTCGGCACCAATGGGTCGGGAAGTAAAACTGACCTTGCACTCGTTTACATTATCTTTGAGCAGCGATTCAGCGAGGGCGGGAGATGATTGAATAGACTTAGTAGTCGAAATTGGAATGTCAGAAAAGTACTTACCAAAAACAATCGCTATCTCTTCGTTAGATTTGTAGTGTTTGTTTGTATTATAGTGTTATCGACACATAGTTCGATGTCTTGATTGCGATCCCTGACTCTTCCAGTTTCACTATCAATTATATCTTCCAAGTCATTTTAGTTTTATTGGTACTATTTTTAATCTTGTTTTTGATATTTAAGGACTTGGCCGCGTAACAAACTTTCTTAAATAATTTCGAATAAATTCTTCATTATGATTGTATGACTTTTCAGCGTAAAGGTCATACCTACAACCGTTGTCTACTTTTATAAATTCCCGCTGTCGCCCAATTACTAAACGATTTACACTGCGAATGAGAAACTCTCTTTGGGGTAAAGATGGTGTTGAACTCTTTATTAATACAATCACTTAGATTGTTGTAGCAATGATAGCTCGACATGACTTATATTTTTTTATATGTGTCACTTAGTTTGAAGAATGCATAAATAAAGATACAGTTTTTTGTTAGTCCAGCGTCGCAAACCCACTACCCTTAAGGCTATGTTATAACTCCTTGTTTTAAACTATTCAAGACACTCGTCCCTTCCACCAAAGTTTCATTTATTTGAACATCTCTCCAACAACCGCCTCCGAACTTAACTCTCGTCTTGTGATATTTTATCCCCTTTGGTTTGGACTTAGAGATGCCATTATCTTCAAAAAGCCTTATGCCTCACATATACTTATGTATTAACTTCAAAAAGCCTTCTATAAAAAAATATTTTTCAATTTAGTTAGTAGTTCCTGAGATTAGTGTGACGTAACGTGAAAAACAAACTCGCCTCTTTAAATTTTTGACCAGTAGGTGCTCGGTAAATTTGGATAAAAACACTGTAAGTGCGATGGTTTTAGGCTGTTACAACCGTAGTGAATGGAAACTTAATGAAGTTATTTCATTAAGTTTATTCATTCGTTTCAGTTTTATGTAGATAGAAATTTCTTTAATTTGATTAAACGATATAAAATTGTCAGTTATGATATTTTACAGTGATATTAAACTTTTAAGTTTATAAAATGAAAGATTTATCAGGTTTTTTTCTTTAATTATAATAAGGTTATTATGAGACTATGAAATGATTTAGTGTTGCTTTTTTTTAATTTCATTTACATCGCGTCTCGTAATATATTTTGTAAACTTATCATAAGCAGGTTGAGTCTCGCAGCGTATGCAGACGATTCTACAGCTCGACTTGTATATTTTACAGCATTATAATATAATACAAAAGATATTATCTTAGTGATTATTTAAGTGGTATATTATCTGTCTGGAGTCTTGATTGAGCTCAACGCGGACACGATTATGTATAAATTTAAAAACATAACAAAAAATAAAGTGAAAAACTATATTCAGCACCTGACAAATGCATATTTATTTACTACTATTATCAAAATGTTTAGCAAATTCTTGTTCTACGTGGTATGCATACTTTTTTCTAAAAACAGTGTCCAAAATTATTTGTAGTGTTTTCAAACAATGTATTGATACACATTATTTTCTGATCTGTGCGACCATATTACTGAACAAAGCCCATTTGACAACCCGTGTCTCGTTATTTATCGTGTCCGGTCACCGGTGTCGTTCAGGTTATTGTCTCAACTTTCAACTCTCAAGTCTCAACGAGTTACGAGATGAAAGAATAAGAAAATTGCACACTAAGCTTATGCTAAACAAAATCATTTTTAGATAGACGGAGACGTGATCCTCTACCACCAAACAAATTTGTAAGGAAACGAGATTTAGCTCTTTAGCTTTTAAAAATAGTAAAGTATATAAAATATATTAAATAGGGTACTCCAAAAGTCAAAACAATTAGCGGATAAATCTTATAAAACCAAAAACTTAAAATGTTTATGTAAAAACATGTAATAAAAATAAATAAGTATGCTATATTAAATATTTTATATAAAGTGAATTACATAACAAAATATAGAGGAAACTGAAACGGACCATTGTTATGGACAATTGTTTTATAGATATCACAATAGAGTTTCTGGGAGTAGCTTTTCACAACATTTTGTACTACATGTCTGTGTATCCTTATTACATATTTGAAACTAGAAGAAAGTATAGTGTGGTAGTTTACCGTTCCATTCATCTAGAAGTAAACGAATATATTGATTTGTGTTTAAAGAGTGCGGCAAACTGTTTAAGAAACGGGGAGTTACAGCGCATAGAATTCCTTATAACCACGAGCTCGTATGACGCTCTTCTTAAATTCGTCTTTGATATAAATAAAATTGATGAATATGATCAGACCAATGATGCTTACTTGGTTCAGGCCGAACAAAACATGCGAGGGTTCTGTTTGTATTTAACAACATTGTGTGACAAGTTTAAGGGTTTACCTGAAGATAAAAGTTTTATGATATTATTACATACCAATGAGTCTTCTGCAGTGGCTATGACAACAAACCCAAATTCAGAAGAATTTCCTTTTGTTGAAACAGAAGAGAACACCCAGTTTGATAAAATTATACCTATAAGAAGAGTTTGTGTCCAAAATTATAATTTAGAAATGTTTGTGGAAGTTAAGTGAATAAACTGGAAAAAGGCAGTTTAACCATCTCATCATTTCTTAACTAAAAGGGTATAGGATATAATAATAATGTAGTATGGTAATTAATATACTTGGAATTGAAGTGTCATAAGCAGTGACTGTTACAGAACTTTGTTAAAATAATCTTTTGGTATATATGTAAGTGTTTAAAAATAGTAACCCTTATTTACTATTTTATAAGCTAATTATTGTTGACAGACTGTTATTTATTAAAAATAATCAATATTATTTAGAACCATTTATTCTTTTTCATTATAATCATTATACCTATGTTTTATCTAAATTTTTGCACAGATTTAAATAAAGCCACTATGGGGATATAGATTTACTTTTAAACATCTCCAAGTTGAATATATTTCATCCCAGTCTACATATGCACCAATGAGCTTCCGGCTATTGTTTGCTCTATCTTCATATTTATTCCTCCCATGAAGTAATCTGATGTTGTCAAAAACTAAAATATCACCTTCCTGAGTTTTAAATTTTGCTGCAAATTTGTGGTTAAGATCAAAAAATAATTTGTGTGCCTCATACCATGGTGTCACAGACTCCACTGGGCATGATAAAATACTTCCTCTCTGTGGGATTGAAAAGTTAATTCTTATAATATCTTCGTTGGAGTCTACCACAATAATGGGTGATCGATATAACTTGAAGAACTGTTTTTCATTTTCAGTTCCAATGTCACTCCATTCAACTTCAATGCCTGTTAATAATTTATACTGTTCAGGATAGTTGTCTTTCATATACATTGCTGTGTAATAAGCATCTGATAAAAGGTTTTCGCCTCCTTCACTTTTAGTTTGCACCAAACAATGTAACAGGTTAACACCAGGGCAATATTCATAATAAGGTAAGTCTGTATGCAGTTGTAGCTTATTGGAGAGATATGCAACATTGCTAGTATTTTGTACATTTTGCACAGTAAATTTTTCCCCATAGTGAGTCTCTTTTGAAAAACCAATTCTTGAAATAATCTCGTCCAATGCATCCTCTTTATTTGGTGAATTCTGAATCAGTGCTATACCATAGACAGATATATTATGAAGCCAATGAAACAATGCTTTGTCGGATTGTAGTATTTCATTATAGTTATGCTTACTACATACTTGGAAGAATTCAGAACCATTCCACCTTTTTCTTCTTGGTTTATATATTGACTCATAGTATTTTGATTGGTTCTCTTGAGTAAAACTGCGGAATTTCAACCATTCTATCCTAAACTGGGAGGTATGGCCATCATCCCATGTTACATGCAAGGTGTTCTCATCCTTATTAATGCTTTTTGGTTTCACATCTATTTTTAAATTGGAATAGTCGATAATTCTACTTTTAGCAGTTGAATGGAAACACTGATTACATTGGCAGTTATCTCTTAACCAAATATGAGGGAATTTCAAGTTTTCTCCATCCACTTCTAACTGAATAAAATTATGTGTACATCGTTTGGTTATATTTTTAAAAAATACTTTAACATTAGAATTTGCACTTTGTACTTGCCTCAACACAAACATGATGTAATTGAGAGTGGTTTGATCTCTACAAAGTCTTAAATTGTCTGAGTCAATAAAGATAACATTACTACAGAGCTATTATTATTTATGCAAATTGATGTCAAACTTTGCAAACAGGATCTGTAATTATTTATTCAGACAATCATATGTAAAATGTTATGTAAAGTTGTAATTATTATGTGTTGTATAAAGAAAGATATAAATGATAATGGTATTCGCAAGTATTTAATGTTTAAACATTAAAGGTCACATAACTGGTTTGAATGTACATGTTATATTATTAATGATGAAGTCAATAAATTCTATACATTTTTGAACATACGGTAAAGTTAGTAATTTAAAAGCATTTTTTTACATATGCCTGAGGGTGAGTAAAAATAAAAAAAAGATAAATTTTAAACGTTTTTAATACAATAAATAAGTTCGATTATATCGAGATTTTATATCACAAATGTTTGTAGTGGTTTTAATAAAATAAAAGATGGTCTACAACTCTATAGAGGTAAGAACAAGACTATAAATTCATTCCTTATTTTTAAAACCTAAATTATAAATAGTTTTTTATATTGAAGCTTATAGCTATTTGAGTATTATGAGTAACATTTTCATAGTTAAATCTTCAAATTCTCATATTTTTACACAACTAAGAACAGTTGAATAATGGCCAAGTTACTCCAACTTTTTGGGTCAGAATGACTTGAATTACGCCTTTTTTATTTAGCAAAATATGTTGTTTTTTTCTGTATCTTTAATTAGATCTGTATCTTTTATATAGATTACAGCTGGCCTTGTTTCATAATCTTTTTTTAGGTTAAAAGATTAGTTTTTTTAACTATTTTTTATATGCTAAGGGGTTTAATTATGTTTAACATTAAATTTAACTTTGTGGTAGGCGTTTCCAAGGATGCCGCGTATGTTCCAAATATCGTCAAATTTCTCTGGCTGAGTATTAAAGTTGCTATCTGTTGCTTTCACCCATACTTCCATCTAAAACAAACATTAATAAAATAGTAAGTGCTTTTCTATTAAGCACTTTGCTCCAATAATCGACCCCTAGATTCTAAACTTTTATATATATTTAAAGTAATAAAGTGGTATAAACACAAATGTGTTAAAAATAGGTTAGGGGCAGTCAAAATGTAAGTTTCGTTACGCAGAAACAATACTTATCGAATATCTCTATCGTGTTAACAAAGCACAGACCGTGCCTGGAACAGTTCTGCGAAAAAGTTATAAAGGCGGCAAACAAAAATCAAAGAACGGGTCTCGCAAGGAATTGCGCCCCGGCTCGCCCATGAATTTTAAATAAAAATATTACCGATGTAGCCGGAGCGTATCTCGCGAGACGCGTAACACGTCATTCATGAACTAGTTTATTGTAATTAATATATTGTATCTTTTTAGTGACAATTTAAGAGATAGAAAAAGTCCCTGGACACAATGGCAGGGAAGTAGAGTTTTATTATATTAATAAAAATATATATCTATCGTATCGTATAAAATTATACTTTTTTATTGTATTGAGAACTTAAATCTAGGGCCTATTTGGAAATAAACGGAGGGACGAACGTGCACCGTTTGAAAGGAATACGTGCAGTAACAACTTTCTAAATTTATGAAAAGTACTTTTGAACTACTTGAAACAATCGTAAAGTTCATTTTCCGATACCAAATAAACGATAAAGTTGATTAAAATAAAATTATTACTGACTACTACATTACACCCAATCACAAATGTAAAACTATTTAAATTGATAAATAGATTTGACCTCGGGGAGCGGTCAAAGTTTACCGCGTTTTTATTATCTTTAAAATTGTTTTATACGTCAAATTAACGTCATCAAATGAGGTCCATTAACCCGGACACATGTAATTATATTTATGAAAGATATAAACCCTTTTTTAAATTACATACACATAATAATTGTCAGAAACCTTAACTATATTGATCAGGAAAAAAATTTATAACCTTATATTGAATCTTAATATTATATACTGCTCAAAACAATTACGGGAACAAAACTTTAAAGTAGAACTAAACTTTTTACTTAAGGTTTTAATTATTACTGGCCACTAGATAATGTTAAGGCATTGTCGAAGAAAATAAAAAAACAAAAGAGCATCGGCGTTTTGGTTAGTAGTCCTATAATAAAGTGGCAGTGTGTCTAGAAACACCTAAAAACAAAGTGACGTCTTTGAATTTTCATTACTTTCTAATCACAGAAAACACATTTTAAGTAGTTTTTTTCAATCTTTTGAGTATTAATAGAAATTGAAGTGAGCCTTTTGAGTATTGTTATTCATTGAAGCGAGTGAGTTTAGGTCATAATGCCAGATCTGACTGAATTGCATGTCTCCCGAGCTATCGCTTTGCTTGAAGTGGGTCGAACTATGCGTTATGTAGGAAATGATCTAGGAGTAGCCACTTCTGTTATCTACAGACTTTGGAAGCGATACCGTGAGACGGGAGAATACTCACGAAGGCGTGGTCAAGGTCGAAAGAGAAAAACTACACGTTTGCAAGATCGCTACATCGTCAACTGTGCTTTACGTAACCGCACCACAACTGCAAGAGATCTACAAAATACACTAAGGATGGCTACTGGTGTAGAAATTTCCGACCAGATGGTAAGAAATAGGTTGTTGGAAGCCAATTTGAGATCACGCCGACCAGTTCGGGCTGTGCGTCTAACAATTCAACATAGACAAGCTCGCCGACAGTTCGCGCAAAATCACGCTAATTGGCAACTTCGACATTGGAGGCCAGTGCTTTTTACTGACGAATCACGATTCCGTTTAACACGTTGCGATGGTCGTCTCCGTGTTTACAGACGCCCAGGCGAGCGATACAGTGCAGCAGCAGTCCAGGAATATGACAAATTTGGATGTGGCTCTGTGATGGTTTGGGGCGGAGTTAGTTTGGACGAGCGCACAGATCTCGTCGTTGTTCCCGGGCGCTTGTGTGCTCAAACTTACATTGAAAATGTGCTCGAAGATCATGTTTGGCCCGCAGCATATGGTATGGGCCCAGATTTTCTTTTAATGCAAGATAATGCCAGGCCGCATACTGCAGCCATCACGTCAGATTACTTACGACAGCAGGAAATCCGTGTAATGGAGTGGCATGAGCCCTGACCTAAATCCAATTGAACACATTTGTGACTTGCTTGACAGGCGCATCCGGAAGCGTCCGATTGCACCTCAAACACTGCAGCAGCTCACTGAAGCGTTGATTGAAGAATGGGAGCGAATTCCACAAGAAGATATTCGGAGGATCATACGTGATACGAAGCATGCCGCGTCGTTGTCAAGCCGTGATTAGGGCTCATGGAGGCCACACACGTTACTGAAAGTCACTAAAGACGAATATTCAAACGATATAAGAATATTTCTTTGATGGACCTTTTTTATCACCAATTAGTTTTTCGTCTACAATGCACATTTTAATTTTTTTTTAATAAAAAAAAGTAAAAAAATTGATTTTTTTTATTAATTGTAGTAATTAACAAATTAACAAGGTAAAAAATAGCGTACAAGTTAATTTAAATCTAATTTTAGTTTAAGTAATAGAAAGGAGAAAAATCTTGTTCCGCTAATTGTTTTGAGCAGTATATATTCACTAAGACTCGAATAGTAGAAGTAGGTTGTCACGTTAATTTACTGAATTGAGTGGTTGGAAACTAGGCAGCGCATCGTCATCATCATCAGCCTCTTTATTTGGTCCATCTCTGGACGTAGGCCTCCATTTTCCTCCAGTACGCCCTGCATTGACCTCTCTGTATCCACTTGGAGCCATCCTTGACGATGTCCTAGTCTTATTCACCGCGCGGTCTTTTGTTCTGCCGAGGTCTCCATTCAAGAAGCCTGCGGGTCCATCGGTTATTGTCCATGCGCACTATGTGGCTTGCCCACCACCACTTAGATGTTCGAACGCTCTTACTACGTCGCTTACCCCGGTCTTTTTACGAATGGCCTCATTTCGTACACGATCGCGAAGAGCATTGCACGTGTGTTGTGTGAATGTTGTTTCGGCTCTATAGGTAAAGATAGGCAGGATGCACTAATTGAAGACATTTCTTTTGAGTGCTATAGAGAGGGGTTTATCTATCATCTCTAGATGGCATTATCTCTCCATTTGCTTCAAAAGCTGCAATTGCTTGCGAAATACGGCTGTCGACTTCAGCTTGACTTTCGCGTCCCAGTGAAATTTTATCTACCAGTAGTTATTGTCTGGTTCTTTCGATGTTTGTCATAGCTATAGTCTTGTAAGGATTTAAAGATTACTTTAGACTCACATTAGTCCCGACTTGATCATGGTAGCCATATCCTCAGGGTTATCACCGAATAACATATGTGATCAGGAAATCTCAAGTTTGTCAGTCTGTTGCCGTCAATGTGTTATCATCGTCCCACGGTAGCATCTTAATGACGTTATCAAGAGCCGCAGTGAAAAGTTTCGGAGAGATAGTATCTCCCTGTCTTACTCTTCTCTCCTTACATACGATGTGGCGTGATTTTGCAAGAGCTTCTAAACATTAATGTATCGTTGGTCGATTCTGCAGTCAGCAAGACTTTTCTCTACAGCCCATGCTTCCAGTGTATCGAAAGCCTTTTCATAATCAATGTGATGATGATAGGCATCTGGTACTCGTTACATTTCTGGATTAGGGTTTTACTTATTTGCAGGTGATCGCAAGGCTATAAAGAGTTGACGTAGAGTCGGCGTACAGCTGTCGGATTTCTACGACCGTTACTCCTGGGAGGTCCTTCGAGCCCACATTCTTAATAAGTGGGGGTCGGCAGGTCAGCCATCTGAAGTGCAGTTTGGGTTTTTGCTTTGATAGAGGTTTTGGTAGTAGCGATGGACCGTCTTCAGTAGCTCTGCTCTACTACTACTTTGTTTTCCTCGTCAAACAGTTTTCAAATGGTTTTCCTTCCTGTATTAAGTCGCTGTTGTAGCGACTTTCGACTGTTATTATGCTCTATAGCTTTCACAATAACTTTTTCGCACTTTATTTTGAGCATTCGCAATTGAGGCGTACCTGCTTTACGTTCGCTGCAAAGTTGCTTTCGTATTTCGATGAGATTAAGAGTATTATTCGTAAGTTTTACTTTTTTTGGCTAGGTGCAAAACCGTCAATTTCTCTGCTGTATCTTTTAAAATTTTGCATATATGGCATTTAAATGTTCAATACTTGAGTTACCAACTTTGTGAGATTGTCTCACAAACTGATTCTTTTATCCCTAATCTCGCGTTGAAGTCGCCCATAAGAATCCTAAAGTGCGCTTTGACATAAGATAGAGTTCTAGATATGCCGTCAATAAATGTTCGATCGAAATGTTTTCTTCTTCACTTCTTTCTATCGTGAGCGCATAGGCTTGTATTATTTTAATTTGGTACCTAGTGGAAAGTTGAAAGAAATTTTGCATAGACTACACGGTTCGAGATGATGTTCACCTCTTATTAATTAGTTTTTTGTTTATTAGGAAACCTAATGTACACATGCCTGACTTTATTCCTTCTCGATGGTACAGCAAGTGGTGACCTGACTGAAGGGCCATTCTTACCTCGCATAGACCTAGCAAAGCATTATAAATATTCTTTAGATATAGATTTCAATACTATTTTGACTATAATTTGTCTTGGCTTCTAAGTAACTTGTGCTAAATTTTGTGTAAATAGGACAATTCAAGACTCGATCTAAATCGAGTATTATTTTATATATGTCTGGACTTTGACTTTTCAGTTCAAAGGTATTTGGAAGTAGTCGATTTAATTTAGTAAAATTATCTTTTGTCTTAATTATATGCATACAATGTTATCGCTCACCTTAGTGTCTCCACGTTTCACGGGAACGTTTAACATCCAGAGTGTCCAGGAGTAATGTTGGCGCGGTGGTGCCGGATCGCTTTTTAATTCCGCTTCTATCCAACTTTGACCTTGATCCATACTGACATCCACTCTTAAGATTTTTGCTCCGCCTCCAGAATACGCATAACCTAAAAAGAATATCGGAAGAAAAGGTTACATTTTAATTAAGGACGTTAGTAAAAGATGTTTGTTAAATTATTTGCTTAATAAATATGTTTCTAGGTTGCATGACGGTATGGAATTCATAATCATTGTTATAGATTAGAATTCCGACAGTACGACAAATATTCTTAAGAAAAAATGTGGAATTGATTGTTAATTATAGTGAAACGATTTAAACATAAGTAAATTTGTACTTTAGTTTTATAAAGATTGCAATTTTTTCAGACAGGAGACAAAACCAATCCAAGCGAATTTATAATATAAATGGAAAAGATAATTTGGATGGAATCTGGGAAAAGGAATCAAAACTTTGTTACAAATGAGACGAAACTATTAATAACTATATTAGAATCGTTTAAGAGTCATTGTATGTAACAAGAATAATGCGGTGGCTTGACTTGCTAAAATAAACGATTTATACCTAAAAATATATGATCAAACGGAACTTCTTATTCTTTTATTTAAAAGTCAACAAGTTATTGGAGTTTACTCCTTAAGAAACAATTTGAGTTATAAGGCCCGGTACGGAAATTTTATGAGGAGTAAAATCAAGTGTAACACGAAAAGTTGAGGCGTTATGTAGAAAGAGACAAACATATATATCTGTAGGATTGAACGTGTAAAAGAATGAGATGGAATACATTACACAGACTTCTCTCTCTCCACGTTACAACATTGTCAGTGTTGACAGGTGTAAAAAATAAAAGTAGATTGTCTAGCGTGCCATAGAGTTTTGTCAATAGTAATGGTCGGTGAAATTAAAACTAAAAAGATTGTTCATTCTTATTATATTATCTTACTATAAAGGTAACTTTGGTCACAGAAAGAAAATCTTATTTGGGCATAGATGATGTAGGTACGTTTTATTACTACTACAAACATATATTCTTACCACCTTTAGTATGAAAATATGGTCGACAGCCACAGAACATTATCGCCATCTTTGTTTATTATTTTTAATTAATTGATTAAATATATTTTATATTTATATAATATTTTATAATACTTATATTAAATTATTACGACCCATTTCTATTTTTTTCTATTCGATATATATCATAATTATCGTTCGTAAGGAGTAAACTCCAATCATGCGTCGTAGCTGACACACACACACACTTTTTTTGTTAGTTATTAAGCAATTTGTTATATTAAATATTTATATACGTATAATTTAGCATGTAAACATGGTGTCGAGTAGTTACTGTTCAATAATCTCCAAAAATTGCGTGACGTAATACTTGAACACTCCCTGATATGACCCGTAGCAAATAATTAGATTAGTTCGCATAACGGCAACACGGTTCTCATTCCATACATAATATCACTTTCAATTCAAAGAATGTCATATATAGAGTATATTTGGTAAGGTATGCAACTACAAAACAATTCATTTAAAACAAATATTCCGATGGAATCTTACCAGTGACAACCTGAAAACAATTCTTACCTTTAAGAGTGACACAGCCCCCTTTGACATTGACAGTGTCGCCATCAACAGGGTCACATAGAGCTGAGGTAACAGGCAGACTATAAACAGGCGGAGCCGTACTGAAGTCCGCCGTTTCCCAGGTCTTGCTTGGATTGAAACCTCTGTAGTCTTTCTGGTGCCAATGGGAAGGGCTTTCGTCGCGGGAGATGGTTATCGATTCTGAAAAAAAAAATGTTTTTTTCATTCATAATTTCATACTAACAGATATATAGATGATTTAGCATTAGTCTTGTTTCAAAAGTTACTTAAAATGTTAGGTTTAAAGATTTAGAAGTATGAAATTATTTTATTTTGAAGTATGAAAAAACTTCTAATATATCCTACCATTACATACATACCTACCCTAGGTAGGTACAATCCAATGCAAAGCTACTACACTCATACTAAAAACTTCCCAAAACATTCTAGAAAATTGTACCTACAAGACTCGAAAACAAAAAAATTAATAAGTCAGGTAATCGAGAACATTCTACGGATTCCATTCTTTTAAATTAACGAATTTTTTATTTTTTATTATTGTCTACTTTATAATAGTAACAAAAAATTTACTACACATTCAGATATGTGGGATTTTCATTGATAATAATCAATTAATTAATAACAATGTATTATTTCTCTTAATAAATATAATAAAACACTTTTTTAAATAGTTTATAACATTAAAAAAATTTAAGGTGCACATAATATGGGTTATATTATGTGCACCTTAGACAATAAAAAAAAAAAATCGTTAAAAAACCTACCAAGCCATTTCACGCTACGTACGGCCGGCGCACCGGGTACTATTGCTCTCAAGGGATAACCGTGGTCAGGCGGTAATGGCACTCCATTCATATGCGTAGCTATTAATATGTCTGCGCGAGGATCCACCGCCTGGTGGAGCGGTATCGACGTACTGAAGTTCATGCCTGTCGCGTCCATATCTGCGCCTGTAAACTAAAAAATATACTGGTTGATTTTTTTATCAATTGTTCAATTGTTACTAATTGGTCAGCTGTGTATTTCTTTTGATTAACTTGAGTAAAAAACGTTTCTTTCTGCAAAATATCGTTTAAGTATTAAATAAATCAATCTTTGTTTGTGTGAATAATCTCAAAAACTGCTCCAACCAACTACTAATTTAAAAAAAGGGTCCGTGTACTTATGTACGCGCGTAAGAAGTTATACTTCTTTGGCAATATTAAAAATAGTTTGGCTTTGTTCCACCTCCAGTTTTTGATATTTCACAGCGATAAGATGAAAACTCTTTTTTTGTATTCAATTTAGTGCAGTTACACTGATTCATCAATTGTTTTTTGTCTCTTTTCCTTATATTTGCTAGATAAAATCAGAAAAATTACATGTTTCGATTAAACAATGTGGTTAATTTTTTAATCAAAACATTACTCGATAATAACAATAATACATACGGATAGTTAACCTCAATTGTATTGAAGCACTTAGGAAGGTTGATGAGCACAGTTTTTTCACAAATATTAATTAGTATTGGTTTAAATATTCAATTTAAATCACTTCTGATTATATATAATTCAAAAAGCATTGCTAAATTTCTTTGAAAAAATAATTAAAACTCCTTTATTTGTTTAAAAGGTAAATGACAAATGTCATGGTCATTCAAAATTGTTGGCATACGAACTTCACGCATATTCTATTTCTTTTTACTTGTAAATTCAAATTAAAAAAAAAAAAATCATTTATTCACGTAGGTAACACAATGTACACTTGTGTAGATTGTCTTATTCCTATCTCGCTCGCGCACGCTATAATCACACTAATAATTTTGTGTCACGGGTGCGCGCGCATTGTAAAATTTCACTCTCATAAATTTTTCATAACGCGCCTAAAGAAGTATAACTTCAAAAATTCAATCACCATTAGGCGCGAAACACACAGAAAAGGCGTAAGGTGAAGGCGCGGCGCAGGCATCTTGCCGCTTCAAAACGCGTCAATACAAAATGTACGTAAGCGGCACGTTGTTAATTATACTCAAGCGGCGTGGCACAGGCACGTCACCAATATCTTCGGTGTATCTGCACATTAATGAGTTGCAGCAAAGCGAGCGCATCTTCGTCATCTGAAGAGGAAGACATGCTATCACGATAAATTCAGCCTGCGTTAATGACTCTTTGTGCCGTCTCTTCGCCTCTTTGATATAATTTAAGTCGCATCCGTGCCTTATCTGTTCCACGCCGGCTCTGCGCCTGCGCCGCGCCTTCACCTTACGCCTTTTCTGTATGTTTCGCGCCTTAGAATACTACATTATCTCTGAGTTATTTATTTACTAAATTAAGAAATTGTAAACCTGGTATGGTCATTCTTGCAGTCATATATGTGTATTTTTCAAAAGAAAAATATAATAGTTTTTTTTAAGGATAGAATTTTAAAATGCATTTTTATATAGTCGTTTATTTAGAGTTAATATTTTACGTTATTGCTGAGATGCGCGACGGTCTAATAGATATTGCTATACAATTTTTAACAGGCGAGCGACATATCATGAATTTCCGAAAAAAAATTCAGTGACATGTAATTTCTATGAAAGCGTTTTGTTTAACAGATATATATGTGACGACCAAGTTTTAAACAATATATTACTTACAATGACATGTTTCCCCTCCGTATCTTCTAAGTCAACGCCGCAATGTATTAACACATCTCGGAGTCGTACACCAGTCCACACTGCGTTACTGATGGCACCACCAGCCCAGTTTAGCCCCTTTACAGGCTTAACCTGCTTTAAATTATAGAATCAATAATAATAATAATAATAATCTTTATTTTCTTCTCTCACATACATAAGGTTTTTATGATTAACTAAGATTATAACATTAGGAAGTGTATGTGAGAGACTGGTCTCTGTAACAGGAGACCTGAGTGACAGATAACCAGCCTCTCCACCACCGGACCGGAACGCGTACAATCATGTCATTGTCAAAGGTTACAATAGAAGAAAATAAGTATTAAGTGCTAAAGAAAACATTGCAAACGGAGTTTTAAAAATAAATTTGGTGTGTGTTTGTGTGTGTGTGTATGTGTGTGTGTATGTGTGTGTGTCTCTCTCTCTAAGTGTGTGTATGCGTGCGTGGGTGTGTGTATATGTGTGGGGGGAGTGGGTGAGTTACAGAATGACAGTTATTAGATCCTCTGTTTCATCATAACTCAACGTCTTCAGCCAAGTAGTAACCTTTTTTTACATTTGTATTTGGGTAGTGGGTAAATGTTAATTTTTTCGTTTAATTTATTATACAAATAACAGCCTAGGAAACCAAAGAACCTTTGCGAGAAAGAAGTTGTCCATTTGGTAATACAACAGCAAACTTTATGTTTTATCCGCTTGTTAATATTTAAATCGGGGTCGTAACTAGTTTTATGATGTTGTTTTAGAACTGTGTTCAGAATAAATAATTGACGAATTGTTAATACATCGGCTAGGGCATAAAGCTCTTTGGTGGGAAAAAGAAGCGGTAAGGAGTGGCTTACTTTTAATACTGCTCGTTGGGCTCTTTCAAGTTTTAGGAGATTGGTTTTGAAAGTACCTCCCCAAACAGTGATACAATATCCTAAAATTGATTGACATAAAGACTGATAAACTACGTTAATAATTTTTTTGTCTGCTATAGACCTTAAAGTTTTGAAGATATAAATGAGTTTACGGGTTCTGCAAGAGAGAAGATCCACGTGAGAATTAAAACTCAAGTTACTGTCGATAACTACACCCAAATACTTAATACTATGGGCAAGGGAAATGCTTTTGCAATGGCAGAGTTGATTTGAAGAGCAAGTATGGGCTATGATAGAAAAATTATTATGAATGTGTGAGGGAATGTTTTTAATAGAGAAGGGCATAAATTTTGTTTTATCAACATTTAGCGTAAGGCCTCTCAACCATTCATTAACAAGGCCAAAACCAGACTGAGCAGAATTATAGACCTCATTCCAATTGTTGCCAGAGAATACAAGGGCCGTGTCATCTGCAAAAGATATTATCTTACCATTTGGCAACTGGAGGTTACATAACTCATTAATGAATGCTAGAAACAACGTTGGGCCAAGTACGCTTCCCTGAGGGACACCGTAAGTTATTGGCAAGTCACTACTTACAAGGTCACCGACCTTCACCCTTTGAAATCTATTTTTAAGGTAACTTTGGAAAAGACTCAATTGAGAACCACGGATACCCAGAGATTCAAGTTTGTTTAAGAGAAGTGGGACAGAGACTGTGTCAAATGCCTTAGCAAGGTCCAAAAATATTGCTATAACTTTTTGCTTTCGGTCAAGTTTGGCTACAATGTGATCAGTAAGTTCGTGAACGGCGTCATTTGTAGAACTACCGGAACGAAAACCAAATTGCGAGCTAGAAATGAGATTCTTGGTCTCAAGATAGTGAACAACAATGAAACATCTTTACAACTAAAACCCTTGCAAACGGTACCTTTATTTCACGTAAAAAAACTTATATACTATAGTACGCGATAGTCACGAAACTACTATAAAGTATCAGCAATTGACTAATTTGTCCTAAACATTGCAGTTTGTATGTATAGTATGGGCTAAACATTTTAAGAAAGCGCCGTCTAATTAAAAAAAGGGTGCGTGTACTTATGTACGCGCGTAAGAAGTTATACTTCTTTGGCATTATTAAAAATAGTTTTTGATTGCATGCAAATAATTAATTACAATTAAATAATCAAAGACTGGAAAAGGAGTCATTAAAGTCAATAAAGTTCAGTTTACATTTGAAAAATTAATTAAATAAATATTTATTATTATTCTCTTACATTAAACAAATAAAACACTATTTATCTTTAAAACATTTTTATTTCATTATACTATTTATTTTTAAGTGACTCTAATGTCTTCATCAGAATTTCGGTTTGTAATTTTAAATTAATCATTACTTGGTTGTGCATCTACGAGGCTTCTCCAAAACTACTTGCTTTCTGCAACAAATAAGAGAATATTAATTTAAGCTCTGTCCATGCAAAACTTAAAATTTTTATAATTCATATTATAAATTTTTAACACATTTATATTAATATAATTATATAAATGTGTTAATAATATAATTTGTAGCACATGCTACAGACCTGGATAGCAACTTTCTTTTATTCTATTTAGAGATAGAGATAATTTAAATATAATACCGGTGTCTTCCTTGTAGGTTTCTTTGGAGTTGTTTGGGGATTCTTGTTGTTCAGTTCGACATGATTTTCTTTAACCTTTCTTTAATCCTACAAAATAATGAAATTGTTAAGTTATGTTGTCACTGTTGTGCACACCTTTGTTTGGCTTTTTTAGTATTAAAGTTATGTCAAAACTGATTTATTACCTTGTCATTGTTGGCTTTATTTGCTTTTGGGATATCAATTGTTTCCAAAATGATTTTATTTGTAATAACCTGAAATATATAAATAACATCTATTAATTTAAGTATCATGGTGAGTGGTTCGCACTCAGGTATTAAGGTGTATTATACCCACTGTCCATTATAAGTGGGAATGGGCTCACTTCTGGCAGGACAGAGTTTCGGTACTACAAGTGCAACATGGATGTTTTGAGGTATTACAATATCTCTAACTACCCTGTAGGGGAATAAAGTAATGTTGTAAGCATATGCCTATGCTTGAAAGGTTGAACCTTGAACATCACCATACATCATATTTATAATTAACATTCCTACCTCGACACCATCACAATCAAATTCATTGAAATCTACTTCAAACCATTGTGTCTCGAGAAGGTGATGGTGGCTTTGTTCCACCTCCAGTTTTTGATGTTTCACGGCGATAAGATGACAACTCTTTTTTTGTATTCAATTTAGTGCACTTCCACTGATTCATCAATTGTTTTTTGTCTCTTGTCCTTATATTTGCTAGATTAAATCTGATGTTTTGATTAAATAATGTGGTCATTTTTTTGAGATGCAGGTACTTATTAAAATGTTTACTTCTCTGTTATATCGCTCCAAGCCTTCATTTTCTCCTTATTAGTATTCGTGCTTAAATCTTTGTTCTCAATTATTGATATATAGGGTCGTAGAATATTTCTAAAAAGTTGCTGTAACAAACGCAATAAACAAAAGCAATGAATAATGGTTCATGTTTCAGTTTTAATCAACAATAATACTCGATAATACATACGGATAGTTAACCTCAATTGTATTGAAGCACTCAGGAAGGTTAGCACAGTTTTTTCACAAATATTTTATATTATTTCACAAATATTTTGTATAATGAAAATAACTAGGTATATAATTATTAATTTTGAACAATAATTAAAACTCCTATATTTGTTTAAAAGGTAAATGTCATTGTCAGATGTCAATTGTCATGGTCATTCAAAATTCTTGTTAAGCTAGAATATGCGTGAAGTTAGCTTCACGCATATTCTATTTCTTTTTACTTGTAGTTTGTCTTATTCCCATCTCGCTCGCGCACGCTATATCACACTGCCAATTTTGTGTCATAGGTGCGCGCGCAATCGTAAAATTTCACTCTCATCAATTTTTCATAACGCGCCTAAAGAAGTACAACTTCAAAAACCAAGAAACTTGCCTTATAAATTTATTCCGATAAAAATTATAATACTCTCAAAACCTGGTGCAACCCGTTTCCAAATAATACAAAAATATTCTTATCTTTTTGGCAAAGTATTATAGTTTCACAAGCAATAAGTGTTAAATTTAGAACCATTGCAAGAACAAGTTCATAAAAATCACTTTCATACAACTGAAAATATGTATTCAAACAGAAGACCTCCTCCTAGTATTAATTATATATATCGTATGTTATGGGGTGGCAACTCGAATAACAACGAATTATAGATGGCGCTATCAGAAAATAATCCAAATATTAAATCGAGTATTTATATTCTCACGTTTAATCTCATGAAATTAACAAACACAAGTTTTAATCCATAAGGGTTACAGTACGTTTATAAAAATTAGAGTTTCACAGACAAGAGAGGAGAAAGGGAGAGGTGCATAAGTGCGAAAGACGTCTGAATCTACATAACATTCGAATATTTTCTTTGACACACCAATAAACGATAATTTTGTAAGTCATCCTTATGTTATGCATTTCAACTGATAAAGGCAATCTATCATAACAATGTTATATTTAGCTTGACCTAGTCTTATCGTATATCGTTTATCTATGAAGGATAGATAATGCCAAACTTAGTCTTTGCTATTTATATCAGATCCGATTCCAATTTATCCCTTTACATAGAATGTCTTACAAGAAGTCGTCATCGACATAATTTCGCGCTGCCTTCAAGGGAGGGATGTCATCGAGGTCATGACTCCCTTCTCTTGTACTCTCTGATACTCAGTGAAAGGATTTCTAGATTCTAAGTCCTAATACAAATCTGATTGGTCAAAGTGACGGATTTATCTATACTAATAATATAAGGTAAAGTCTGTAGGGCCCTACAGACGTTACCCGGGTAACGTCTGGATCTACTGAACCGACTTTGAAAATTCTTTACGACCTGAAAAATAAAGGCTTTGTAAAGTAAGAAAAACACGGTCGAACGAAAACGTTTCAAACGACTTAACGATGAAGTCCTAGAGGAATGTTTTATAACTACTAAAAAAATTCAGCATATATCTAAATTTCTAATTTAATCTAATTATTAAAAAAACTACTATACCTAATTTACTAGAGTTTTCAGCAATATCTAGAATGATTCATGAGAAAGGTTTAGGTGTATAATTATTCAGGGATGGGTCACTGTTGCCCGTGCGCAACTCGTAGGTCACCGATAAACACACACAAAAGATGCACGGTGAACGGTACATATTCATAAAAAACCCAGACGCGAACGTGTAATCCGCCTTTGGCTCTCCTGCTACGTTCAAGTACGAATTGACAAGATTTGTCTTTTTTCATGTGATTAATTTTTAATGAAAATTTATTCATCAAACACATTTAAGTACACATTTAACTAATTTAGTCAGAAATTGACCCATTTTAAAAAATATTCTCCCTTTTTAAGTGCCCATTTCTGGCCTGTATCTCTTAAATGAAGGGAAAAGTTAATTAGAGATATGGAAAACAAAAACAATGGGTGTGGTTTAAAGGCCTCAATGTTAAGAAAACTATTCTTAAAATGCAATACCACTTTTAAAAAGATTATGTATGAATGCGTATCTTTATTATCTAATATCTTTATTATGAAAGCGATTTGATAAAATTGAAACAATGAATTGCAAAATCAATAAATAATTACTTTAATTCCATTTACAAAGGAATTTTATCAAGATAATGACCGGCATAATTTAGTATTGGTCATAAACGCGATTAAACCTACCTTTATTTCAGAATGTTGTTGTCGGGTAGGTAAAGAGAGTTATTTTTTTTTCTAGTGCGTCTAAAGTTCCTTGAAAACAGAATTTGGTTTTAGCATATAGGTAAATGCCTAAATGAACGAGTTTCTTGGCTTGTCTTCAAATCCGGATATCCGGATACATAGTTTAAAGCAAAATGTTTAATCAAAGAACTCTCATAAATAAACAATTTTTTTAAGACGTACTTAACATACCTTGTTCATCTCGCTTCGTCTATTTCCAGCGCACATGAGCGCAGCCCGAATAGAAACTCGTGGAAAGCGGTCCAGCTCTGATAAACTGAATTCGAACTGCTTATTGACCCCTTTGACGTATATTTTGAATGAATGTGTTTTTTCATCCAATTCTGGCACCGGCATGTGTTGACGGACGTAGAACAATTCACTGGAATATTATTGATTTGGTTTAAGATATTTTATCCTGATTTATAGGGACAATATTACCCATAGATAAGCAATAAGTTTCCTTTTTTATGTCCCATAGATAAGCTAGGCTCTTCTAGGAGTGGTAAATTTTCACAAAATTTTTTTAGGTCTGGGGTCGGATTTCTGTACCTATCATTTACTTTTTCTTATAGGCAAGTTGAACAGACTTCTGTGCCTCTGATGGATGGCGATGTAGCTTTTTAGGGTTTAAGGCGAGCCGGTTTTCTCACGATGTTTTACCTTTACCGAAATCACAAAATTATATATCTTTAATTCTATATAACGTCACTGTAGAATGATAACCTCGTATGTTAAAAAATTATTTATTTTTTATTCTTAGACTCTTATGTCATTTAACTGGTATAATCATGATGTAAGGACTTATTTATGTTAATAATAAATATGTCCTTTTTACCGTCTAAAACTATGGACAAAAACACATAATATTGTAACGAACATTGACGAAATTAAACATTTTTTTTCGTTTCCTTTAATGTTTGGTTTTCTGGACATTATACTCACTTAGGTGTGTCAAAATGTTCAACCTGCTCCTTGGGTGGTATTTCAGCATTGAAAGGCTTTGCAGTCTTCACAATCAATCGCTTGTCTCTATACGGCTCTTTTACCCACAATTCGTGATCACTGTGGTCCATTACATCTTCATCGTGAAGGTTTCCTGTAAGTTATTCTGATAACTATCAAATTATACACGATGTTTGTTCGATGGCTGTTACCTCTTCTAGTATACATTTGATTAGTAAATTGTAAAAACATATATTATAATATTTAAGCCGAGAGGTCAACTTGTTTTACCTACCTTAAGGGTAGGTAAAAATGTAAACATCTTGCCAGCTATTCATCTTGTCATCATCAAAATATATATTGTAGATTTTTATAGTTTAGTACAAGATTACAATTATTTGATTGTTAATTAAAAAATACAATTTAACGTTTAATTTTTTTTCAATTTGTTCGTACAGTTCGTAAAGTTTAAAACAAGACGATTTGTTTCTAGCTATTCCATCATAATAAGGCGTCTAAAATATTTTTCTCTTACCGATCCTGTACGATTCCAACAATGTATATATCTCTGCAGTTTTATGCATTCCATACACATTCCAGAATGGTTCAATGCTGAAACCGCCTGCGTTTAAAATCTGTTCACCTCCTGGGTGAGACGGCAGGAACGACGTCACGTCGTACACCCCATTCTTGTAGATGACCCAGAAACTTGATCTGATAATAATAAAATCAATATATTGCGGTAAATTTTGGAGCCTTTATAGTACGCCAATAACATAAGTAAGGTAATAAGATTAATTTAAACATAACATTTTCATTTACCAAAATGCGACGCACAACTTTTATTTTATTTGTAAATTTTATTTGTTGTACATACTCCACATATTACAGATTATGGGTATGTTCCGATATACACTGCGAGTACTGTATAGTGCTCCCACTGTTCAAAAATTCGTTCCGCTATGGACTGCCAGTATACAGCCGCAGCGTCCTAGGGAAATATATGACGTCACAAATCCCCGCTATACTTCTACTGCGAGCACTGGCGTTTTCGAGGTAAGGTACTCGCAGTGCTTTGATCACGTGATCAATCAAAACCACTTGAATGCCTAACGGCTGATATAACTTACAGTTTAATAACAAACATTTAAAATTCTAATTAAAGAATTAGCTTGGACTAATTAATGAAACAATGGAAAACTTACGAAAATTGAGTTTATTAGACTGTGTAAGTAATACTCGAACAACGGCACCAACAAGCACAATTCCAATTATTGTGTATTCCATTAGCTGTGAATTGTTTTTTATTTGTAGTAATTAATAACTAATTTTATAAAGAAAACTCCTTACTTTTACCCTACATAACCTTTGCATTATAAGTACCTAATACAGAAAGTTAATATAAGTTGAGTTATGATAAACAGACTTTTTCTAATTAAAAAATACTTACTTTCTTTGTAGTATTAATTCAATTGACAGTTAATATTAATATAGATTTTTTTAATGCGATAATACTCCAATAATAGTTTTTCTTGTTGAATTGAAAAACTTTGATGTACTCATTTGAAAACTGTGTCGAAAAACGAAGCTGACTAGTATACTGGACTGCGTTCCGTTTTAAATTGTAACCAGTATAGCTGGCTATTTTATTTTATTTTTTTTTTTATTTATTTATTTATTCTATACATCATCCTAAATAGAAAAAGTTGGCGTGGTGGAAACACAAACTGACACAGTTTTTCCGTCCACCAGGTCGTCGAAAATATTTAAAATAATTAACCTATTACACACTCAGGCCAGTGACACACTATACAATATAACACCCCCACCAATAAAACCATAAAAATTGCACGAACAACATATACCAATTGAAACAATGACGCTCCACAGCCGATGCAAGAAACCTGTTCTTGACGAGAAATTCTCATTCGAATACAGGATGTGTATTCGAATTTACATATTCGAACATGAAACTAAATGACGACGTCCTACTTTTAGTTATGCATAATTTGTAATTGTTTGACTTATAAAGTAATTTTTTAATTTAAATTTGATATTGTTTCCTGTTACATTAGCAAATAGCGCAGTTCGGTAAAGAGTTTAATAGATTTGGAATAATATAGTCTAATGTTTTTTTCCCATATAAATTATTGTATTTTTGGTAAAAGAAATTCGTTTTTTAATTTTCTACGTGTTGTATAGTGATAATGAGTTTTAGTTGTTTTAAGGTAATTGTCTGTAAAGTAGTTTTCATTTAATAATGCTAGCTGCACTTTCTCTTGTATATAGAGAAACGGTTTCACAGTATACTAAATTGACGGTACTCTGTACAGTGGTCGCAGTGTATATCGGAACATACCCTATATTATTACAAATAAGAAACTATTTATAACATTTTCTTCGATTTTACGTTTATCTTATAGATAAAATTGGTATTTAGCAACAAAATAAAAAGAAATGATAAGCGATTTTTAATCATGTGTAGGTATTATGCGATCAAAGAATATATCCGGTGGCGCTACAATCTTATATGGGCCTCAGAACAGATTTTTTTTAAATTTCTATAAACAAGTTTGGAATTTGGATCAGCATTTCGTGCCTTCCACGCCGACGATTTTTCCGGTTTCCTCACAATACCTACATAGGAGCAAGTGTCAAATGCGCAAAGGAAATATAGCGCACAGCCGTGATTCGGACATCTGAGCATTGAACAACACGATTGTATCACAGATAATAAAGTGCATATATTGCATAGCAACATCCGCAATATCTTGGGAAATAGATATAATATGTCAACATTTGTATCAGATACAGATATTGTATCTTATCTTTAAACCAAGAGCTATATTCTGAATTAAATAAAAATTATTGTAATGTGTGAATTCCCAAAACCATAACCTTGATACTGTATTATCAGAAATAGAATCGAGAACTTCTGGATATAGTTATGTTAACATACCCATTAATAGGTAAATTCGACTAATATCAATTGAAGAGTCTGGTGCTTAACTTATTTATTTTAATTTTAATTATTTTTCTGTTTGAGATCTTATTATTTAAAGGTACATGGTACTGTAATATCTCCCTTAGGTGTAGCCATATACATACCTAGTGGAAAGGGATATGAAATTATTGCCATTGTAATTTGTGTTATATTACATAATAGGCCATGAATTTTTATCAAAAAAAACATTTTTTTATCTGATAACTACAACCTTCCCACCTTGACCGCTAATAATTTGACATCTGTCAAAAGAATCAATGCGAGTATGGATAATACTTTATCCAACAGAATCATTTTAAGTGGAAGATCAGGCACAATAAATACTGATAAAAATATTTTTTTGTAATAAAGGTTATTGCTATTTATTCAGAGATAATATTTGTTAAGATAAGATTTTAAAGTGTTTGTATGATCATTGCAATTTTAAGAAGAAATTACAGTAGTTTTTACCTTTAAAAATCTAAGATCAATACCTAAAATCGATAAATATTTTTATTTATTTATCATTCAGCAATGTATGCCTGTATTCAAAAACGTCAATCAAACATATGTCTAATTTCAAAAGACTAAACACTTTTTGGTTCACGTTTTCACATATGTTTTATGAAGTTTGACATATATGACAGCTCTCAAGACGAGATTCTGACTTGAGATACGAATTAGAATATGGACCTCAAAATTGTTTCTGTTCTGTTGCAAGTTGCATAGTCTATACCAATAAAAATAAAATTAGATATAAGTTAAACATGTTGTTGCACAATACGTTAACTACTAACAATATACAATTAAATTGTGGCTTAGGTACACTACCTAATTTAATGGACATAAATTGTATATTTAAAAATAAGTATGTATTGACAAAGGATAGGTTCCGCCTACCTAATTATTATTTACAACAGATAGCTACTATGCTATCTTACTTTTTATTTACAACTAAAGCTAAACATTTAGCTTTTCAGACAACTGCTTCTATTGAGCAGCTAGCTTTTCAGACAACTGCTTCTATTGAGCAGCTTAGCTTAAGTGAATGTAGTGATACTTGCAGTAGCACTTCATTAAGTATAAATAATTTAAATTAGATAGTGTGACAATAGAGGCAAACTCTAGCAATAATTTAGTACAACTCAGCTCAACACAAACATGTTATATTACTAACAACAACTGTTTAAACTTGATGCATGAAAACATGCAAGGTATGTTCAAAGAATAAGGCCGGCTCCACACGTTGGCCCCAATATTGGCCTCAACGCTATTCGTCCAACGTGTGGATCTAGAAAATGGCATTGGTCCCAACGTTGGGGCGAGTGTTGGTAGTTGGCCGGCTCGTGTCGGTTTCATCAAAGGAATCTGCGCCAACGCTCGCGATCTGTCCACACGTTGGCGCTTTGCTTAGTTCTGTTACAGTACGCAGCGAGTGCGTACGTCGAGCGAGAATGGCTTCCTCATCCACAAAATCGCCACCGGCATGGACAAATGAAAAAGTAATAGAATTTATTGAACTTTATCAAGCACATCCAATAATATGGGACGCAACTCGAAAGGATCATAAAAATAAAAATTTAATAGCTGATGCATGGCGCACCATTCAACAAAATATAGGAATGAATTTCTCAATTGAAGATTTAAAAAAAGCGAGAATTTTGACTTTGACGTGGCTTTTTATTTTTTCTCAGTAACAAATATAAATGTGCACTCATCATTACTATAAACGCGCTCAGAGCAGTTTCGATTTCTGTATCGGACATCTTCACATTGGCCCTGACGGGACAGAACTAGTTTATTAGCCAACGTGTGTACGCCTCACCGAGTTTGCAGTCCAACGTTGGTACGAGCGTTGGGACCCACATGTGGAGCCGGCGTTAGAATTGGAGTTGTTTTTAAAATCAAGTAAAATTGATGTCCTATACATTACCGAACATTGGCTTAGAGAATGCCAAATCATCTTTAACTTTGATCAGCACCAAGTTGCAAGTTCGTTTTGCAGATTGTCGGCGATTCATGGGGGCTCTTTGATTATTGTTAATAAAAATTTAAAGTATAAAGAGCGTAATGACATCGTGTGTCTGTCTGTAGAACACTCTTTGGAAGTAGCCTGTATAGAGATTGAGAATTGCATTATTTTAAGTGTTTACAGACCACCAAGTGCATCTTACGATTTTTTTGAAGAAAAGTTGGAGGAAATTTTGTGTAAAGTTAGTTTTAAGAACAATAAGTATATTATTGTATGTGGTGACTTCAATATAAATTTATTAGAAAATACCTCCATTAGTAAAAAAATTCAATCTGTTATTAAAATCTTACAATCTTGTTAACTTGTTTCTTGAGCCCACTAGAATTACAAGCTCCACTGCTACATGCATAGATAATGTATTTACAGATGCAGAGGCTATGCAAACCTCAATTACAACTGATCTTAGCTCAGATCATTGTGGACAGTTAGTGGCGCTAAAATGTAAAGTGGTGAAACAAGTAAATAAGAGCAGTGTGTTTGTTCCAGTGAATAAAAAGCGAATGGTGAGATTTAGACATAATATAGGTAAACGCCTACCTTTATTACCGGTAGGTACTACCGTTGATACACAATACAACAATCTAAGTGATTGTATTAATAAAGAGTTCAACACCATCTTTACCCCAAAGAAAGTCTCTCATTCGCAGTGTAAATCGTTTAGTGATTGGGCGACAGCGGGAATTTATAAAAGTAGACAACGGTTGTATGACCTTTACGCTGAAAAGTCATACAATCATAATGAAGAATTTATTCTTTATGTTCGAAATTATTCGAAATTATTTAAGAAAGTTTGTTACGCGGCCAAGTCCTTAAATATCAAAAACAAGATTAAAAATAGTACCAATAAAACTAAAATGACTTGGAAGATAATTGATAGTGAAACTGGAAGAGTCAGGGATCGCAATCAAGACATCGAACTATGTGTCGATAACACTATAATCAAATCTAACGAAGAGATAGCGATTGTTTTTGATAAGTACTTTTCTGACATTCCAATTTCGACTACTAAGTCTCTTCAATCATCTCCCGCCCTCGCCGAATCGCTGCTCAAAGATAATGTAAACGAGTGCAAGGTCAGTTTTTCATTCCGACCCATTGGTGCCGACGATATAGTGAGGATATTTAGAACCATAGATATTAAGAACACAACCGATCTTTGGGGTATTTCTGTAAAAATAATTAGTAGCATAATTGATGTAATTGCTCCCCATCTAGCTATAATTTTCAACAATTGTATTAAAAGTGGCGAGTTTCCCGATCTAATGAAACATAGTATAGTTATTCCTTTATTTAAAGCAGGTAGTATGTCCGACCCCAGTAACTTTAGACCAATTTCCGTACTACCTACTTGTAGTAAAATATTTGAAAAAATTATATTAAATCAACTGGTAAGTCATTTTAACGTAAACAAATTATTACATAATAATCAGTTCGGTTTTACCAAGGGTCGCTCGACAGCCGATGCCGGTGTTGAGTTATATAGATATATAGTTAAGGCTTGGGAGGAGTCGCATGACGCTTTAGGTGTTTTCTGCGACTTATCCAAAGCATTTGATTGTGTCCAACACGAGACCTTAATCGGGAAACTCCGCCACTATGGCATCAAGAATACCGCACTGAATCTTCTGACTTCCTATTTACACGGAAGAACTCAGAAGGTTCAAGTGAATGGTAAGAGGTCCTCTGGGTCGGCAGTAGATATGGGGGTACCACAGGGCTCAATTCTTGGCCCTTTCCTCTTTCTTGTTTATATAAATGATCTACCTTTCATGGTAGAGAGAAAACATCAGATAGTTTTGTTTGCTGATGACACGTCCTTGATTTTTAAAATCAAACGACAAATAACAAATTTTGACGATGTGAACAATGCTCTGTCTTCGATTGTCCATTGGTTTAGTATGAATAACCTTCTACTTAATGCAAAAAAGACAAAATGCATTAAATTTTGTGCAAAAAATGCAAGGGTTATGGATACTAGACCAATTATAAACGGTGAGGAATTGAATCTGGATGATACAACTGTATTTCTCGGAATCACCATGGATTCAAAACTTCAGTGGTCCCCTCATATTAACGGATTGGCGAAGAGACTTAGTTCTGCAGCCTACGCGGTTAAAAAAAATTCGCTCACTAACTGATGTCGATACAGCTAGACTTGTTTATTTTAGTTACTTTCATAGCTTAATGACTTATGGCTTATTATTATGGGGTCATGCTGCTGATGTCGAAACTATTTTCATCCTGCAGAAGAGGGCTATTCGTGCAATCTATAATTTAAAATGTAGGAAATCTCTTAGAGATAAATTCAAGGAAATTAATATACTTACCTTTCCCTCGCAATATATTTATGAAAATATTATGTATGTATACAAAAATAGTGATAAGTTTACTAGAATAGAACATACGCACAATGTTAATACACGGAACAAACGCAGGCTGCAATTTCCCCGTACTAGACTATCTAAAGTTAGTAATTCTTTTTTGGGGAAAGGGATACTCTTCTTTAATAAAATCCCAGAGGCTCTTTTATCACTGCCTTTCAATAAATTTAAGAAATGTATTAAAGAAAAGCTGTGTAAAAAGGCTTACTATAAAGTCAACGATTATCTAGTTGATAAAAGGGCCTGGGACTAGTGCTAGACAGGCTACTTCTAATCAATTTGCGATATTTGTTTTAAATAAGTGTTGTTTGATGATTTGCTGTTTTAAAAGAGTACCGAGAGTTTTTTACGCCGGCTTTTTCTCTCGGCCTACACCCTCTGTCTTCTTTGCCGATGAGTAGGGATGCCTTCAAATTTAATGACGTGGAATAAGTGATACATGTATCTTATGTTCCATAATAAACATATTTTATTTTATTTTATTTTAATAGGCCAAAGTCATAAATTAATTTAAAAAAATTGAATGTTTGCAAATTTTGACAAGATTGGCTGATCACATACTAAGCATGTGAATTGTACTTGTGACTTTTAATTATATTTGTTTATATCTCAGTTAAAAATGCTGATACTAACTTGCTGTCATGCTTGCTGACTTCCTCAGCTCTGTATGTTGGTAGATCAGGTCTCTTTGTTCCAGCTTCAATAATTTCTTCTTTACTCTTGTTTTTTTCTGAAATGTTAAGATCAAGCTTTAATTAATGTGATCACTATAGTTTTAATTATATAATTGAAAATTTATCAATTTATTTCATACATTTTAAAGTGACATTGGTATATTACTAGGTATAAAAACAATTGAAAACAGTGTTGGCCTAGATGCTTAGGTGTGCCAAGCAAAAGGCTGATCACCTTACTTGTTTATGAAATAAAAATGATCAAAGAAACCGATATAGGGTTGGATTATTATTACTGTTACTAAACTTACTTTGAGGACTGGTTAGAGTTAGATTTTTTGATATTGTTACAAGTTTTAAGTAGTAACATAATATCATGATTTCTGTTCTGTACCTAGTATGAACAAACCACTGAAAATTGAGGCTAGGAAAATAAAAAAATAGGTCTTGTTAAATATTTTAAGTAATATAAGTCATAAATTTTACGCTTTTAAGAAACATCTGCTTCTTCTTATAAGTTTATAAATTACTTATCACTGACTAAATAATGTTTATTTAGTATGTTTATATACTAAAATATACATTATATCTGACATTTACCTCTATAATGTGTGACAAGCCTGTTTTATAAAGTTATATTAAATAAAATACAAAACATTGATTCATTAAGTAATTTTAACATAATTTACTTGTTGCTAATGAAGCTTTTTAGGTAACTTTTAAAGCTGTTTATTAAGTGAAGCATGAAAAGTTTATGTGTTTTTTATATGTTTACTATGTGCAGATAAGTAGATATTAAATACATAAATAATAATTTCCATAAATAATAATTTCTTGTGAGAATTTTTTTATTATTAAATTATTTAAACATGTTTTGTATTTACCATTAGCCAATCCCACTGCAACAGAACTAAAAATGAAAGCAGATGTTGTTCCAAGTAACTTTCTTGTATTGTTCTGTCGCCTTTCATATTGATTTCGGGCAACAATTGGCACGAAATTAATAAATTTATTTCCTTTTAGACTTCCCCTGCAATATTGAATTCCAAATTATAGTAATGTAAAAATAACCATGAATTCAAGTTTTAAAATAACTAATCTCAATAAAGTTTTCAGTAGTTTCATAAATAAACGTAACATGTAAAAAGACATAATTAATAGAAAACAGCTGTTACATTAGCTGACGATGGGTGTATGAGCATTCCAAGTGATTAATAATATTAAGTAATATTCATTTAAATATCGAACATTGATGTAGAATATTAAAAAGCTTACCTAAATAATAATGTTTTTAAAGACATCTTGTCAAGACACAGTCCGAATCACATATGAATTTTTATTACCTACAATTTACCAATAGTCCAATACTGCTTGACAAATTTGCGATAATTAATGTTAATGTAGCCTTGAAGATGTTCACAATACTAGGTGGCTATTATCTTATCTTAAACTGTGTTAAATATTTTACATATCACATTTAGTTCGACTATGGGTGGTATTAAATTAATAAAAATATAATCATTCATTTTATGCCATGACTACCAACTTAATTATTTTTGTTTACCTATTATTTAATATTTATTATGTATTAATTACAATAGTCAATAACGTCGTTCGACGTCATGTTTTTACTCGTCTTTGACTTGACACTTGACAATGACATATGACTGACAGCCAGTTTCAGATACGATTTTCTTACGGGGTAAAATTTAGCGGCTAGGGCATTTTTCATATTTTCTATGCAGGCTACAGAGTGCAGTTCAGTAGGCAGACCAAAAGTACCATGTAAAGAGACAATGTCGGCGTTTCCTGGTAAAAAGGCCACCAGCATCTACGACACTTATCTCATACGGTAAAATTCTCAGTCAAGACAATATCGCTATCATATCTTTTGCATTATCTTAGTTCTTAGATTTTTATTCTGGAAAAGTATATAGTCCACTAACAAAACGTCTTAATATGATAAGACGAAACGAAGTTCGCGGGAGCAGCTATATATTTCACTACTGGAATAGACACAGATTTTTCGCACATCGCATTCGCACTTTATATTAGTTGGATACTGGATAGGTCACCGATTTCACTGTAATATAGTAGTAAATCTGTTGGTGTAGTGCTCTAGCAGCAAACCGAGACTAAATGATGTTAGCCACCTATTCATCTACATCGGAACAGTTACGTCTGCCAGCCTTATAATCAAGGACGACGGAGGGCAATACTCCATGATTGAGGTGTTCTTATGCTCGAAGGTTTTGTCCTTTGGTCCAAGACCTTTCTTAGCATCCAATAGTATGAATTTATGGTGCTTCTTGAAATATTTTCCTTGAGTTTCCGTAATCTCTTAAAGGACTCTTCCTTCGTGTGTTTCTATAAGATTGTTTGAAATCTCGGTATCGTGATAGCTGCTAGGTATTTTTTCGCTCCTTATCGGGTTATATCAGCGTAGTTACTTTCTGTATCAAGGCATGAATGTCACGTGATAATAATTCTGTAACCTAATAGATAATTAAATCATAACTTATTAGATAAATCGCTTTATTTAAGTTAAGAGAGAAATATTTCTGTAAAAGAAACCTGTATGGAACACCGGATTATTGAAAACAATGTTTTTTAAGCAGTTTTGTTTATTTCGTGTGGAATTTTGTATTCTGCCTCAATTGTTAGTCATCTCCCGAACACACTCCATGAACGATATCCATAAAAGCCATAACTTATAGAAGATGGTACACGTTGTTAGTAACTCGGAGCACGTAGATAAGTTTTTTAATAAGGTAGCAATTAGTGAGGGAAACTCGTGCCCACTACGAGAGCCTGTAGTCATTCGTATAGAATCTGTCTATAGGAAAGTTTTGTAAATAATACTTAGTTAACAGAGTTAGTATATTTCAGAGCACCGTTATTCTGGTGATTTACCAATACCTTGAGTTTGAACGTTTGAATTGGCTATTTCTTTCTAGGTGTACAATTAGGTTATATGGTGAAATAAACGGTTTGATTTAAATGGGCGGCGTGTGTCTAAATCTTTTTGATTATGAAGATAATAGACCTGATAGTAGCGGAGCCCACGATGCTCAATGGGGATTTACTCGAGCTTCATAGAGAGTTGTGAAGTTTAGATAATAAAAAGATATAAATGTTATATAATGTATACCTTTTCATCGGTGGGGGGAGCGGGGAGTGCAAATTTGGCCCCACATGAAGTACTGTTCTCATCTGTTCGCGTGAGCTCCTCAGTACCAGCTCCTTTCACTTGACCGTTTTCAAAGAAGAGTGGTTGGAATCGTCGACGACCAATCCCTCTCCGAGTGGCTTGGTCCCTTGGCGTTGCGTAGAGATGTGGGGTCACTCTGCATCTTTACCGCATTTACCATGGAGAGCGTTCAGCAGACCTGCAGCTGAGTTTCATCATCGAATGTCGAGGCAGATTACGAAATTCCACCTCGGACGTCGGTAACTAAGCGTTTTTAAGGCAGTTTTGCCGCGCACCACAACTATATGGAACCAGCTGCCCACTGAAGTATTTCCGAACCATTTCGACTTAGGGTCCTTCAAAAAAAGAGTGTACCAATTCTTAAAAGGTGGAATAGTAATTGAAGATTTTGCAATTATCCTCAAACAATGCCAATTAAATATTTTGTATGACATTGATTTATTAAGTTTCCAGCCGACCTAGTTTAATGGAAGTATTTCAAATAAATACAAATGTTTTACTTGATACATTTAATAATGTTTAATATCTTTCAGCTATATAATTATAAAATAAAATATTTATATATATAATAATGAATGCATTAAAAAGAAACCGCACAATCATACACTAACTAGCATTCATATGTTTAATTTAAAATTTCTACTCCTACTCAATAAAAAACTTTATATTATATTCGCAAACAAAACAATCAAGGAAGTATAAATTTAGATATATATTTTATGTTCAATTTGTATTTAATCACAGCGATAGTAAAATACAATTTTCCTAAGAAGAATATACTACATTAATTAATTATTTCTTTATATAATAATAATTTTCTATCTTCAAAAGTAGGATAGGTCTATTCTAGGTCACACTCCACAGTTAAAATGTCATTTTCATACGTCCAAGAACCAGACTTTACCTCGCTTGGCAGAGTTCTTACGTTGAAGAAGTTGTTTTTCGAGTTACCATTTGAGTGGTGAGCTTCAATCACTACAGCTGTCTTCTTCGTTTGTACTGAAATATCATCCTCGTCAAATCCATGTAGAGATACTTTTATAACATATTTATCACCATCAAATCCTTCTTCCAAGATCGGATTCGGGAAATGCCGAGACAGTGCCTTCATTTTCTCCTCAAAAGTTTTCATTTCCCTTTCATATTCCTGCCAATATGCGCGGCTCTCTGCTTCTAGTTTGTTAAATTTGTTTGTTATGAAGTTTTCAAGAGTCTGATCATCATCGTCTATGTTTATTTCCTTGTGAGGCGCTGCGCTCACAGTCGCGAGAAGGCCAAGTATTACGTATGCCAACATGTTTCTTGTTTGTGGTGATACTAGTGTCTGGTCTTTGTAACTGTTCCCTTTTAAACTTAAAATAAGCGTTTTCCTGTTGCAATGTGTTTACTTTAATAATTACATACAGGCCGTTGTATAATGGCTGTATTAATTGAATTTAAATTTAAAATTCAATAATTTAAAATAGGTACAAACTTTTGCTTGTTAAATTAAATACAAATATTAATCACAATTAGTGTTTAAAGAACTTTATTTCTCATTACAAAAGTTATTTTTTATTTACATGAGAAATTTTATATTATATACGAACGAGATACATGTCGCCATCAGCTAGCCCAATTTTACTCTAATTGGCTCATTCTGATGTGTATCTTTAATGCCCTTTTGAATTGATTAATCACGCTAATTTTACGAACCTTAGACGGCAACTGATTAAAAAAATTGCATACCCTCATACCTAATAGACCTCTTTAAATAATTTGTGCGCGGCTTTGGCAAGATAAGCAAAGTCGCTCGATGAGTATTGCGTGTAGTGGTGTATTTGATTTTATGAAATGATAAGTTACTATGTAGAGAGTTATTTAATTTTTTTTAAATAATGATACAGGTGCTATAACTATATAGTTGTTTAATCGTCATAATTTTGGTTTCTTGGTAGATTTTATTAGTAGGTGTTCAAAAATTTTATCTTAATAGTGTTTTTATTAGTATTGTCTTTTATTGACATACCTTTTAGACATAGAAAAACACTTTTTTAACGGATTGGAAGTTATACATAGTCGATACCAACTCCGGGGAAATAAATACAAATAACACAACTTTTTCTACAGCTGTGATACTTTTTGACATTCAACACCTTTTGTCTTCAGTCAGCGTGACCACGCACGCTGTTAAGCACGCGAAACGTCGGTTAAATTTAAAATTATGTAAAATAATGGTAAATTTATAATAAAACATAACTTCAAATTCGTTAAAAAAGTGTTTTTCTAGTGCTTTTATTAATTTCTTTTGTATCTTAGAAATTTTGATTTTGCATGCTGTACCTACCCCATATTTCAATTAGGTATATGAAATGTGGCTTGACAAAACAATTATAAATCAAATGACGTACAGATTGCGGAATGCATTTTGATATTGATCAAAATCTGCGTATAAGTGATTTTAGTTTGGTAATTATGTGTGATATATGAAAGTTCCACTTTAAGTTTGTATCCATTCTAAGACCCAGATATTTCTCCCATTTTTTGTTATTTATTTCAACGTCTTGAACTTTTAGCGGTTGAAAGACAGGAATGAGTTTATTACATATTTAAATCATAATTTAAAATGGCTTATAACCGTTAAAGATCGAACAAGAATGTGTGTAAAGAAGAAGTCGACGAAAAATATTATTTATTTATTAAGGAAACTAAACAGATACATCTCTATACAGAAAAAATAAATTAAGTATTAAATGGATCTCTGTGGTCCGCTATTTTGAGCGCCATTTTTATATTATGTATTTTTGTATATATGTATTTATCCATTTTAATATTACTAATAAATTCCTAATAACATACACATCCCGTATGTCATATCATTTTATTTACGTCAATTATGCCGATCTTCCTCTGACCTCTACAAAGCTTTAGATTTGTCATCGTTTAAAATTATATAACTGTTTTTTAAGGAAAACAAATAACTTCTGTAATGTCTATTAATTGTATTATTCGGAATAATATTTCCTAGTAGCTACAAAGTACTTTTTATTGTTGATCTGGTGGTTTTCCGCAAAAATACGAAAGTCCAAAGGTGGTATCACAGTTTCTAGCTTGACAAGAGGTCTTTGGATAAGATTCTGAGCTGAGAGCGTATATTGCACGCCTGTATGTTTTTGACATACGGGGCTTATTTAAAGCAAAACATTTAGAAGATATGTTTATTGTTTAATACGATTGTTAAGCTCCAAAACTTACAGACTGGCTTTTTAGTAGTTAAAAGACAATGCGATAAGATTAAAGGGAGAATACTACTACTAAATATTGATGAACACTTTATTGAATATTTAATCGCATTAATAAGCATGTTTAAGATTTTTCTATATACGCTGTTGGTAAATGAAATGTTTATTTAGTTATATAGTGTTTCTCCCAATTATCGAATCCTGTCCGGTCTATAATCTCGTCCGTCCTTGATTCCGTGTTAACAATATGAATAATGATCATATTTATAAGTCAAAGTTTTAATTAGTAATCATTGCAATGAAATATATACTAACAATATTCTTGACCTACATATAAACTAATAAAAAGAAAATTAAAACAAAATAAATCTAAGTCTAAGTTTTCTACAACGCATTTGACACTTACATTCTACAATCACAGCGATGGCGATACCCTGAAGCACGCTAATTTATTTTATTTTACAATTTTAGGGAAACTTACAGCTAAAAAAGGTAATGAAGATATCCCGGCCGCTAAGGAAATATACATACAGCTTATCCCCTAAGCACTGCAGCCTTCGTGCCGGCCAGTAAGTGTTGAAACTAAGTACCATCTTTCCTCGACACACCTATAAAAAAAATTTGTTGTATTCTACAAATAGTTACATGCACACACACACACATCGCTAACTAAGCCATATAACCAATGTTCAGACACATTAAGTAATATTAAACATGTCCTTACTAAGATGATTTGATATTAGTCTTTAAGGAAGAGTTTATAATAAGGACATCGGTTAACAATTTGGAACAAAATATTTAAATATTAGACTTCTAAATTTACGAAGAACAAATTGTAATTCATTAAAATTATGATAATTCGTCTGAGTACAACTAGCAGAGGAATAGTTTTAGTAAATAAATATCATTTACATCAAATAGACTACTAATTAGTCTGTCCTTTAATTGAAGTTCATCTGTGTGTTCAGACGTTCACTGGCCCCAAAGGTATGTTCCATGAAATATATGTGTTATGTAGGAATGTCTGTGAGATTAATGAGAGTTAATACAATTCAGTTTTTGCTATTTTATTGATGAAAATAAAAGGTGTAGTAATAGTATCGATATAAACAAATGAATCGCAAAATATGTTGCTAAGCGCAAAACTCTGCTGGACCTGGCTAGCTTTTGGGTAATTTTTTTATATATATTCCTTGAACTCTGAGGAAGGTTACAAAGGGAATAATGGCACAGAAAAATCTAAAAACCAGTTATTATTCCTGAAAAGTGAACAGTCTCTATGGGGTAGCATAGCAAAATCTTCCATATGGTATCTAGCTACTAAAAAGGTAGGCTAAAGCTTAGGTTTCCTAGAAAAGCGGTGCCGTTATCAAACGGCCGTAATGTAGCGTTGGGTGAAGTTCGCATGGCAGTTTGTGAGAAATATAAAGAATATTACTGATCATTAAAGTTCCTATCACTGGTGATCAATATGGGTTAAATTACAAATCTTAAAGAGAAGTGTTAGTAGGTCTTCGTTTCGAGAGATTCAAGAGACAGTGTTAAGTATGACTTCAGTATGACAAATCCAAGAAGTTTGACACACAGAAGAAACATAGAGGTCCTAATTATAAAGAGGAAACAGATGGATTATTAAAATTTTACATCTTAAGGCGCGTTATGAAAAATTGATGAGAGTGAAATTTTACGATGCGCGCGCACCGTGACACAAAATTAACAGAATGAAGTTGCCCACTCAATCGCTCATTATGTTGAGGAAAAAATGCTACCAACAAAACAGAAATGGAACCTCTGTTAGTGGCGCATGTTGGCACGCACGCCGCCTCTGTTCACTGTGTATTTATATTTATCCACATGCATTGAGTTTCTACATTAAAAACAAGTGTTTTCATTATACAAGTGCGAATTTTATATGTGCGTCTGAATTATAATCAGAAGTGATTTAAATTGAATATTTAAATCAATACTAATTAATATTAGAAAATATTTGTGGACAAAACTGTGCTCATCAACCTTCCTAAGTGCTTCAATACAATTGAGGTTAACTATTCGTATGTATTATTAATAATGCCAAAGAAGTATAACTTCTTACGCGCGTACATAAGTACACGCACCCTTTTTTATGTTTGTGTAACGGATGCAGCAGCTTTCTTTCTAAAATAAAAGACTTGGCGAAAAAGTGTGGCATAGTTCTTCTCGCCTGTTCTCGTTCTTAAGTTATTTGATTTAACTGGATCTCTTTTTCGGTTATCGTAAATTAAAAAAAAATTTATATGAAATTGAACCAAAGAAATTTGATATAAAACTTTAAGTAGTCTATGAAGGGTAACATTTTCCGATATAGAAATCTTCATGCAAATATTTCTCACAGTAATATGAAACATATTCCTCATGTTTCTCGTTACTTCTTACAGTAATTGGTGTTGATCTCTAAGGGCTTACATTTCTTGTTAAAACCAACTCATTTTACAGTTATTTTTTAGATATTTGTAGTTCTATCATATATTTTAAAATCTACAGCAAATCACACTCATTCTGTTCGTATATTTGATAATTTAATACGAATCAGGCCTTTTGACCAATCCAAAACAATGATTGACTTAGAGAGGGAATCAAGTCGATCTCTTTTCTTCCTCTTCGAAAGGAGCGTACCAGATCTTAAAAAGCTGGAGAGGAATTGAGATTGTCCATTGGTGGCGGTATCACTTAACATTAGGTGAACCTCCTGCCCGTTTGCTCCCGTCCAGTATATAAAAATAAAAAACGTATTCAGATCTACGTGGTACTGGATTATTATTTTCCTTTGTGAAGGAAGAATGGTGAACAAACTTTAGGACACAGAACAATATATTCTGTGTCCTAAAGGGAGGGACATCGACCAATCTAACCCAATTAGTCTAGTCGACAAGTTGAAAATGGAACAAAATAGAGATACTGCTCTTAAAATTATGGGCGATAGCTCATTGGATCCGGAATGACGTCTAGAAAAATGTGCTAAAAGCGTGTATTAGCACATAAAAAATTGCAAAAGTTATAGACAATTAAAGATGAAAAAAAAATGGCATTTAGTTTTTTG